GGGCTTTGGGGTCCCGGGTGAGGAGCGTGGCGGCGGCGGCGGCTTATTCTCGGGTCACAGTGGCCGCTTATAATGCCCGAGGAACGGTGAGGGGGAAAAAGCAGCGCTTCTCTCCCCCATCCTTCGGGAAAGGCACGCCTCCCTCCTGCCTCTCAGCTTTCCGACGGCCATCTAGACGGGCTGCCTTCCCGCCAATACTGGCTGTGACTGTGGAGGCCACGAGAGGCGAGGGATGCCTGGAGGGGGGTTTGGGACCTGGAGCCAGAGGTTCGGTTCCCCTCCTGGGCCTCCTTGACGGATCCATAGAAATCCCTTCCCCGCTCTCCAGTTCGAAGATGATGGGGAAGGGTTTTCCAAGCAGCTCCTTGCTTCCCCACAAACACTGGATCTTACTCACTGTCAGAGCGACTGCCACTAAATGTTTTCGTACTGTTATTGTGGTCCAGAGTCTCTCTTCCTTGTGGGCTCCAGCAAATAGGGATAGTGAGGGTTAAATGATCCTGGGTGTGGAGGCAGGATGAGAATTCAAGAAAGCGGCACTAGAGAAGAAAAAATAATAATTAATTGTTATTATTGTTATTATTGTTAATAATAATAATAATTATAATTATAATTATAATTATAATAAGGAACGGGTGGCATGGGGTGCCCAGGGCAAAAAGGCACAGAGATCGGAAAAGGAGATGAAGGGCTTACTGTAGATAGGTTTGTGTAATGTGGGGAGGGATAGAAAATATGTGTTTGTAGTCATTTTAAAGTATACATTTTATATAGCTAAATGTAATAAGTGCAACAGGGCAAAGCAGTGGGGAGCTTTAAAAATGAGATTATAGGACTTGGTAATTGACACACACAGTGGCTAGTAGGTAGTATAGTTGGAAAAAAAATCTTTGATCTTAGTAAGGCAAAAATATAGGTGAAGTAAATATATCGTGAATTGTTTGGAGAAGAGAAAGGAAAAACAGCAATCTAGGAGCTAGATTTTTCATCTGTATATCTCTTATGCCCCCCAGAACGTAACTATGAAGCATAAATAGTTGATTAACACACACACACATTCAGACATACGGGCCTCCCCTGACCCACATCAAATTAACCTTTAAATTAATCTAGAAACACTCTGCTTGTCTTTTTTCCTAGTCCTATTTGCTATTTGGTAGAGAACCAGAATCAAAGGGAACATGAGAGTATCAGACCTTTGTGATTAAACTCTGCTCTAGCCTAGGAATAAGGGTCTGACTTTAATAGCAAACAATAGCATATCTCTTATCTTCTGGGAGCTTAATTGGAAGTTTTCATTAGGAAAGGAAGCTTTTCATTAGGAAAGGAAAATTAGGCATAAAAATGGGGAGGTCAGGAGAGTATAAATAATTAGACACTTGTGCTTGTTGCTGGGTAGAGGTTATTGCTTCCCTTGTATAGTTCACACAGTAAAACATAGCAGTTGATGGAGGAGTTAACCAGCTGCTATGGTCACTGTGATTTCCTGCCTTCAAGTTCTTTATATTGTTTGGTGTGCTCTAAATATTGATCCTGTTATTAATCGTATTACTTATGTCTGCAAGAATAAGTAAAATGGCAAACAATTATGGTGATTTGCCACTACTTAAGAAGTCAGTGCATGTATTTCTCATCATATGCCAAATCCCACAAGTAAGAGTGCAGCAAGAAATACAAAGTATTCTTGAAGGCTTTCACGGTGTGTAGGATTGTTGAGTATCTGTAGCTGTGGGATCAGCTTTTTGTCTTTTCAGGAGATTGGGTGATTATGGTGATCAAGGTGTTTTTTGTTATGGGTGTATTGTTGTGATAAGGGGGAGATGATCTGTCACTGTGATGGGTGTTGTTAGCTAGTCTTTTGTGTGCAGTGATCACCAGTCCATCAGTCACAGTGACAGATCATCCCCCCTTATCAGAACAAAAGATAACAAAAAACACCCTGATCACAGGAAGCACCCATTATCCTGAAAAAAAAAAAAAACCCTGAGATACCACAGCTACAAATACTCAACAATCCCACGCACTATACCAGAATACAGACAGAATTATAGCTTCTGTCCTCTGACGATGCCAGCCACGGAGACAGGCAAAATGTCAGGAAGAAAATCTCCAGAACAAGGCCAAACAGCCTGAAAAACCCACAACAACCATCGAGTCCCAGCCGTGAAAGCCTTTGAGAACACATTAAATATTAAACTGCGATTTTATGGCTTTCCTATATTGAGTTATATTGGGAATGTAATTTATGGCTGAAATGGCAAGTACCATGCTCTGCTGATTTAAGACAATATCTAATAGTACCAATTCTGAGAATACAGAATATCACACTGTCATTTCCCTTAAGTGGTTTAAAATGTTTTAATACTCCCGATGTACTGAAATTTTAGCTTTTATGTGTAATCTCATTATATTTAAATGTACAGTACCTGAAGTATATGTGCACAATTTCTTATCAGCATTACATTTTCATTTAGCATGGCAATTTATGTATTTTTTCCATCTGCAGTGTTCAGTTAATGGAACCCAAGTTAACTTAAACCTTTAAGAAGCTGAAGAGGACATAAAGAAGGTAGGCAGAACTCCCTTTTAAAAACAAAATGTCTTATTGGTCAAGGAGAAGGCTAGACCCTAGCTAAACCAGGGATGGCCAGGGCTGTTTTCAGCCTCCCATAGAGCAGTACACACCCTGCATCATGATATATATTCCTTTATTGCCATTTAAAGCTATTACAAGCTTCAAGTCTGTTTCATTTTTTAAATATTTTTATTTTGTCCTGCATCATGATATATATTCCTTTATTGCAATTTAAAGCTATTACAAGCCTCAAGTCTGTTTCATTTTAAAAATATTTTTATTTTCTTTATAAAGGTAGGGTAGGGTAAGGGACAGCTGGGATGGGGTACCCTCGGAAGGGGTGGATTTGAACGGATACATTACAGATCAATATTTTTCATAGTAATTCTATACATTTTCTTCTAGTAATAGTTCCGCATATCAGAAAGAAATATAAACAGTGAGTGAGAGGGAAAAATCAAATTCAGACAGATATATTATTATTTTGATTATTGAATATGTAACTGATAGACTTTATCAATTCTCATACATTTTCCTTTTATTTCTCATTTCCCAAGGGGTATGTTTCAGTGTCTTGAGATTCCTTCCTTCTCTTTGCTTGTCTTGCGTTGCTTTCAGAATTTTGTCTCTATATGTGGTTTTAATGAATCTAATTTGGATTTCTCTTGAGAGGTGATTTTTTTAAATAAATACTGAGGAAGTTCTTCTGGCCGCGTCTATATTCCACTTAATTTCATCCTTACAATCCGCCAAGTCTGATAATAAATTGGTTGTAACTTCTAAGAGGTCTTTTGAGTTTCTAGTACTCAGAATATGTGATGCATTCTTCATCTGGGTTTGAGTTCTTGATGTCTCATGTTGGTTTTGTCTGGTTTCAACTTTTCCTAAGTCTTTCTGAAGTTCTATTACTGTCTTCTCCATTTTCTTTGCCAATCTTACTTTCTTTTGTATTTCTTGATTTTGCTGCGTCACATCCTCTTTCATTTGCCCTGGTTGTAAATTTATATCTTCCTGTTGTTTGGAAAGGTCAGACATTTTAGTTTTCAGGGCTGAAGTATCAGACTTAATTTCATCAAACTCATGAGCTTCTCAAAATATTATTTTGTTAATAAAGAAGACTGAGTTTCTTGCATCAATCTCAATGGTGTACTTTCTGGTGCCAAACCTCCTTTCCCCACCTTAGGTTTTGCATCCATGTTTGTATTTTCAAAAAGAAAAGAAAAACCCTTTATATAACAGTTCTACAGTATTTTCCACTGATGTCTGCCTTTTTCCCCTCTTCTATATAACAGTTCTACAGTATTCTCCACTGATGTCTGCTTTTTCCCTCTCTTCCTTCTTATATAGACTTAAATAACCTAGTACATTAGGGATATGGAAATATGGAAGGATATGAGAGCAACTTACAAACAGATCAAGCAAATAACAAATGGGGATTGCCCAATATATGCTGAATCAAAAAAAATCCATGTTATTAATGAAGGGAAACTTTCCTTGACCACTTCCAAACAGGGAGAATATTTCTTGAATATAATAAGTATAGTAAATATTACTCCGCTTCAAGGAAGCTGTTTATGTCTAGATTTGACAAAGAAAAAAAATAGAGACAAGTCAACATGTTCAGTCTTCTGGGCACCTTTCCAGAATTTGAGTAGAAAAAGATAAGGTGAGATAAAGTGGAAGAGAAACTCCTTGTCTCTTCTAGTGCCACCATGGATTTTCAGGAATTTTAAAATTAAAATAAAAAACTCCCAAGAAACTATTTTTTCAAACTCCTCCCCCAACCATGCTCAGCAAAATATATAAAATCAAGAAGAAAGAAAAATAGAATCCAGTCTATTTCCTTTTGTAATCCACATGGATGTCGCTTTGTTTATGAACAGCCTCGATTTTCTACTTTCATCTCTGTATCAGACGTATTGGTTTCTTCAGGCACACACACACACACACATATAAACATATAAACATAAACAAACATGCATACATACCCTCACCAAAGGCTGCTGAAAGAATTCCACAGTCCAGGGGATAAGAGGGCAGGTGCTTTTATGGATTGAGAATTCGTGGAGAACCAAGAAAAAGAGAGGAGGTGTCAATGGGCAAATTTTCAGCATGGCGGGAGGTGAAGAGCGACGTGCCCCTGGGATCTGTCCTGAGACCGGTGCTTTTCAACCTGTTCATCAGTGACCTGGGGAAAGGGATAAGCAATGAAGTGGCCAAGTTTGCAAATGACATGAAACTTTTCCAGGTAGTGAAGAACAGAAGGGATTGTGAAGAGCTCCAGAAGAATCTCTCTAAACTGGGAGACTCGGCGGAAAAATGGCAAATGTGTTTCAATCTCAGAAAATGTAAAATAATGCACATTGGGGCACAAGAAACTAGGCCTTCTCTGCAGTGGCTCCCTGTCTTTGGAACAATCTCCCCTCTGGGATCCGTTTTGCCCCTTCGCTTGGAATTTTCAAAAGCCATCTTAAGACCTGGCTATTTAGACAGGCCTTCCCTCCGGGCACACTTAATTTATCTTTTGTTTCTCTATCTTGAATGATTAACTGCTGTAAATTGCTGTAAAATTGTTATTGTATATCAATTGTTCTATATTTTGCTTGTTGTGAACCGCCCAGAGTAGACAACGTCTAGATGGGCAGCATATAAGTCCAATAAATAAATAAATAAATAAATAAATAAATAAGCATCATGTGGGTGTAGGCACAATCTAAATGATTAGTATTGTGAGGCAGTTCAATAACATTCAATAATGTTCAGCAGGTCTCTAAGTGGGAACTTTGCAGACAGATAGTTCAGCAATTCATCAGGCTAAAAGTCTTGTTTAATTAACTTCTGTGTTCCTTCCTGTACTCTTGAGCTGTTTGCTTCTGAATGCTTTGTGTTCAGTCCTACAGCCTACTACTCCCACCTATCTTCATACATCACAATAGATTTCCAAGTGTTCAGCTTAAATGTAGTAATGAAAATAAATTTGCTTACGGTGATGTCTGTAAATCTGGAATATAGTTGTGTATCTCTTCTCCTCCAGCCTTCTGGACTGCGTCAATTTTTCAGACCTGTATGGAGTCCTGCCAAAGAGAATGCCAAACTTCTGGGATAGGGAGGTAGTACCAGGTTCCCCCCACCTTCGCAGATGGTGCTTTTCTTCGCATAAATTTTTCTCTCCTGGAAAATTTGATTAGGCTATCTCAAGCCTACAGAACTTCCATCAGTGGTTACAGATGAGAGAGAAAGCTCCCAATTTGTAACCTCTGTTCATCTTGGCCTCGCCTCCCTCCCCTCAGACTTGAAATAGCATTTTTTAGAATGTCAGTTCTGGTTTCTAGAACGGCTGTTAGGGTTGTCAGTAGACATGGAGGTATTCGTGTACAAATATGCATATCCCCGCACAGGTGACATTAACGAGGGTTCAGCCCCCATAGGGTTAGACAGTCCACTCATCAATCTGATGTGGTCACGGATGGCGTGATTCTATGAATGGCTCCACAGCGCGCAATCCGCTTGCCACTCTTTAACATTGCAACAAGTCTTGTCTTCCCACGTCCTGCCAGGAGTGGCGAGTGGATTGTATACTGCGGAGCCATTTGTAGAATTATGCTGTGTGCGTCCACGGCAGATTGGTAAGTGGACCGTCCAGCCTCATACGAATACCCCCATCTCTAGTTGTCAGTCCCGAACAGGCCCAAAGCAACCTTCAGATGGTAAAAATAAAGCACCCTTGAGATAATAAAGGGATTCCAATGACACCTCGGCTATTTTTTAATCTTTTAAAAAGAAAGAAAGGGTAAAAATATTTTAAATAAATAAATGTTTGGGGCAAAATGTATGTTTACCCGTACATGTACAAAGAGATGTTACAGCAGACAGAGTCCCCCTTATGAGAAGGACTCCATACATGAATGTCAGTAAATATTTAGAGCATCTTATGAGAGGTGGATATGGCATCAAGCTGTTAAAAGTGTTTTTAAACTATGTACATTTTATATTTAACACAAATATATGTCTTTCTTTTAACTCCACAGATTGTTTGGAAAAGCATTAATAAGAAATATGCATATTTCCATAAATGATGGACCTTATATTTAAAGAATGGATTTTTTATATCTGTTTCAGCTGATTTGGTTCATTAAGGTAAAACATGCTTTTACGTGTCTTTTTAAAGGATTGAATAGGCTTCAATGCATTCCAATGGGGGATACATTGTATCGCTTAGCGATGTTTCCTATGGGGATTTTCGCTCAAGGACGGCAATCCGTTCCCATTAGAACGGATTAACCGGTTTTCAATGCATCTCTATGGGAAAACATGTTTCGCTTAGCGATGTTTTCCCATAGCGATTTTTTGAACCAATTAACATCATTAAGCGAGGCACCACTGTAGTTACTAAGTGATCTTCTTCAGTGCTTCCTTCTTTTTCCAAGTCATGGAATTTAATTTATGGTGTTTCCTAAACTTTCATATCACCCTGTGCAGTCTGCTCATTCATGGAGGGTTTTTGGGGTTTGTTTGTTTGTTTGTTTCTGGTAAAAATGGATGGCTTCTCTGAAGATTGCAACTTTAGAGAAGTCCCACCCTGCATTTATGTGTAGCAGAGGGACTGCATTTTGCTTTTTGATTATCAAACTGGCTTCTATTGTCACATCCTTGTATCCACCCTCCACAACCTTCTGTTTTTAAAAATAAATTGTTAAGAGGAGTTGTTCTAATCCATATATTAAATTTTGGTACTGAACAGTGAATGTCTCATACTATACCCTTCAATTTTTCTCCACCTTTAAAACTTTTTTACAAAAGAGGTAAAAAGTCTTTGGAGGCTTTGTTTAAACTTTTCTTTCTTTTATGGTTATGATAAGAGAATGATGTACTCTAGTCTGCTTGTTGTACTTTGTTAGGGTTATAGTCCCTGATTCAAAGACAATTACCAGGGTGATCTACAATTAATATAAAATACTTCCCCAAAACGATGTGGAAAATGACTCCTGAAATGTTCTGATTTATAAAAACTTTCATCTGATAGATTTTTCTTTATGAATTTTATAGGAAATGGAGGTTCTGTTAAGCAGTTGGACACTGAATAGAATTGGGATTCCTATAAACCCAGCTAAATATCTGGCCTACTGTTGTTAGATTTGATATGGGAAAGTGGTTAACTTCAAGGTATACTTCAGAAGTTAATAAGCTGGTCTCCATAAGTCACTTCATTTTTATTATGTCGGATAATATCCTAATTTCAAGGATTAAAATGCTGCAGTCTCAGTGATAAATCACTGCAGATTGAAATATTGTGTAGCTTGTGTGTGAATCCTAAGTGAGTTTTATTTTTTAGGCCTGCTACATTGTGAAATTGTAGAGTGACTATGGGTGAAAAGAAACCAGAACCTTTGGATTTTGTAAAAGATTTTCAGGAATATTTGACTCAGCAGACTCACCATGTGAACATGATTTCAGGCTCTGTCAGTGGAGACAAAGAGGCAGAAACACTTCCAGGAGGTAGGTAATTGCAATAGCAGTTGAATCTTTACTTTAAGTTATTAAATGAAATTCTGCACAATTTTTATTCATTTATTAAAAATTTAAAATTGCAACAAAATCTGCATAATTTCTAGAAAGTCCTCGTTTAGTTCTTTCATAATAATCTGGAACAATTATTGAGGTACAAGTAATTTTTTCTGTATGTTGATATTACTGCCTTACTACTTACAGCAGGAACAGAAGGAGATCAAAATGGACTAGATCATCCTTCAGTTGAAGTCTCGCTGGATGAAAATGCAGGAGTATTAGTAGATGGATTTGAAAGAACTTTTGATGGAAAATTAAAGTGTCGGTATTGTAATTATGCTAGTAAAGGAACAGCACGCCTCATAGAACATATCAGAATTCATACAGGTATGATTGATTCTGCAGATTTTTTCTCTACATTGTGTTGCTGCATATACCTTTTTACTGTGTCTAACATGTTAACCTCGAGGCAAAATCCAGAGCTGGAGTCCCGAAGGTAGCTCATGTCGTTCTGCCAACTCCTGTGACGTTGCTGGAACCAGTTGTATTGGCTCTTGCCTTTCCATTGGACCATTTCAGCAACGTGGAGAGGGGGGATCTGCTGCTTGGGTAACAGCTTATCCTCCATATTACTTTACCCAGGCTTCATGCTCTGGAGAGGACACTCCTCAATTCAGAGTATGTTACCATAGTCTCTCGAGACTGAAGGATGCCTATATATAATATGCATGACTCACAGCTATCTGCTAATGATTTTTCTCCCTTACATTTCCAGTAACAAGCTTTGTAAGTTTTAGAGTCTTAGAAAGTCTGTTAACACTGAAGCCTAAACTAAGATAATGAAATACGAACCATATTTGATAGCTGATTTCACAGGTTTTATAGTTCTAGAAAGAAGTACACTAGACAGAGTCATGATGATTTTATTGTTGCCCTTGCTAAATTTCTTATATATGTCCACTAACAGTTGTAAGACACAGAGCTTCTTCATTAGATGGTTTTCATCTGGTAAGAATTTTCAAGGGCAGTTCTAGAGACTGCAGTGTTGTTTAATCCAGCTGATTAACTTATTTTTAGTTAATCCCTTTTTTCTCATTAAGTTTTTTTGGAATGAGCAATTATTTTAAAAAGCCTTTGCTTTTATTCTTTCAGGTGAAAAGCCACACAGGTGCCACTTATGTCCCTTTGCATCAGCCTATGAACGTCATCTAGAAGCTCACATGCGGTCTCATACTGGTGAAAAACCTTATAAATGTGAATTGTGTTCCTTCCGCTGTAGTGACAGAAGCAACTTGTCTCACCATCGCAGGCGCAAACACAAAATGGTGCCTATAAAGGGTACGAGGCCTTCCCTTAGTAGCAAGAAGATGTGGGGTGTCTTGCAGAAGAAGACCAGTAATTTGGGGTTCAGCCGAAGAGCACTTATTAACTTGAGTCCACCATCCATGGTGGTTCAGAAGCCAGACTATCTTAATGACTTCACTCATGAAATCCCAAACATTCAGACTGAAACATACGAAAGTATGGCAAAACCAACAGAGACTGGTGGACTGCCAAGAGATCCTCAAGATCTTATGGTAGATAATCCTTTAAATCAGCTTTCTACTTTAGCGGGACAGCTCTCTAGTTTGCCCCCTGAAAACCAAAACCCACCCTCACCAGATGTTGTACCATGTCAAGATGAAAAGCCTTTCATGATGCAGCAGCCTACTGCACCAGCTGTTTCAACCAGTATTCCTCAGAACTCATCCCCTACAAGCCCCGATCCTCGTCCTCCACATTCTCAAAGGAACTACAGTCCAATAGCTGGTCCCAGCAGTGACCACAGTGCTCATGCCAGCACCCCAAGTATCAGTAATAGTCAGCCAAGTACTCCAGCACCAACTCTTCCAGTTCAAGACCCTCAACTTCTGCACCACTGCCAGCACTGTGACATGTATTTTGCTGATAATATTCTTTACACTATCCACATGGGATGCCATGGATTTGAGAACCCTTTTCAATGTAACATATGTGGTTGCAAATGTAAAAACAAATATGACTTTGCTTGCCACTTTGCCAGAGGCCAACATAACCAGCATTGATTGAATACAAGTTATGTAATTCTTTCATGTATTTGTGTGTGTTTAAGCACATTGCTGTCTGTTTCTTTACTTGCTAATGAGGAGGTCGCTTGTCCCTCCTGAGGAATCCACACAGGAATTTTAATATTGGAGGCAAACATCTTCATACTGTCATGAGTTGCTAAGGATACCTTTGTTAGTTGTGGCATTCCTAATCTGGTTCTTAACATGAAGACAAGGTGTGTCGTGCAATTACACTTCTTAAAAGTACAGATGATCAGTGAAACAAAACAAGGACTGACCTTACATAATATGGATCTTAGGACCAGCATTTGTCCAAGTGCAGCTTAGTTCCCTAAATTAAGCTGTGTACCAAGTAATCTATGACTTAATTCTGTCTAGTATTATGCACTTAATGTCAAAGCTGTGATTGTCTATAAATGGGTTATCACCAAAACTGATACAAAATATTTTTAAAGCTTAAAAACATAATTAGCATTTATAACAAAGCCTAACATCTACTATAGAAGTAGTTGCAGTGGGGTGGCCTTTAATAAGGTTTCTGTGGTAACTAACTGGTGGGATCTAGAAGAATAATGTTAATCGGAGTAAACACATCAACTTGTTTTAAAAATATATATTACAAAAAAACAGTGCCTAGTGTTAAATGTCTGTGACTTTTAAAGCTGTGTCCAAAAAGAACACATGAGAGCAATGTTTCTAAAATAGATAATTTATTATAAAACAGTGCATCAGGGCCTCTGTGCCTAGCTTCCAGTGCATTACAAGTAACTTCACTGCCTTTAAATGTTGTTTTACTTTTGCCTTCTTGATAGCTATGTCTTTCTGAGGGAAATGAAGCAGCAAATAGGTTAGAATATTATGAGAAACCATTCAGATTTAGCATGAGTTATTTAAACTATAAACAGCTAATGCATTCTCTTTTGAAAACTATTCTAGTTACATAAATAGTGTGAGAAGGAATATTCCATGCTTTATGGGGTTTTACTAATAGTTCTGGACTTAGCAAAGCAAGAAGTGAATATTAAGACTCATTGGCTGCAATGCTACTGCTCAGCATAAGAAAATTCATAACTTGCAGCTGATTTCTGCCAAATAAAAACTCCCCGCTGCAATTCTGGAAGGTACGCATGTATGCCCCAAGCCAGAGTGCATGTGTGCCCCTGGGAATCACAGTGGGGACTTGTTATATGTTGGTTAGGAATGGACTGAAAGTTACAAATTTTCTTATGCTAAGCAACATAATTTTAACCACTGATTAATTGCAGTGGATATCATTACAAGAGAGATGGGAGTCAACTGTCCTGCTTTCTTAAAACTAGCAAATTGAATCAGCACTTTAAACAAACTATGCTAGCAAAAGCGATAATGCTAGCCTACAGCACATGAATCCTTAATTATACAGGGGAAAACACTTATTTTTCAGTGCACTTTTTATTGTATATGTTTTTTATTTCAAGGGAAACAAGACTTTATACTGTTCTCTTGCATAAGTAAATATGCACATATGTATTTCAGATTATTTTAGTGCATTTATTGAATTTACCCCTAATTGCCTTTGTGTGAAGAGTCTATTATACATATTTTCATTTTGAGAATTTTCAGTGGATGAGCATCTTTTTTAATAGTTGTTTCTAAAGGTCAAAATAGAAACATGAGTTAGAAAAGTGAGTGCAGTCCCCTATATAAGATGGTACCTAAATGTTACACATAGAGAAGTATACTACAAACATTAAGCCTTTTCACCCCACAGCAGTAGCCTGCACTGCTCTCCTGAGAAGGACCAGAAAGACTCAGGGATGCCCTGGGTACATTGAGTATCTAAAAGTTTTAATACAGCCTTATGGAGAGCAGGTATTTCAACAATTTGACCATAGCATTGCTGATGGTGACCTGATTTGGAGTTTTGTTAGTGCATCATCATCAGTGATAATGTTTGAAATCTCATAGTTTGGACACCTGACACCACCAAAACCCTAAAATAGTAAAAGTGTGAGGTTAGTGGTGTGTATCTAGATAAGCAGCTCAGTCAAACAAACAAAAGCTGCTAATGTGACTGCTGCACCTACAGTCAAAATGAACTTTTGCCTTTTGTTCAATAGTTTTATTTTTGAATTAGTTTTTCAGAGGGAAAATTTTTCAAAGAAGCTGTGATGAATGTCCTAAAACAAGTTTTTCATTTTTCCAAAGTACTAGACTTTTCTTAAAATCAGTGCTTGATATCTTAATATTTTGGGTACTCATTCTGAATTCTGATACAGAGGTACTGAAACAATATTATTGCCTTCCACCTCTCTAAAATGCTGTACCATAGGATTCTAATTTTGCAGCTGTCTAGTGTCGTATCTACTGCACTGATGTCAGTGGGAAAACATCCCGTTAATTTTTATTGAGACTGGATGCCATAGAACTTAAAATATACTGTGTATGTTTTAACTGCAGTACTAGGCGTGCTGACTTAATCAACACAGCTAAATAAAAGCTGAAGAACATACATTCTAACTGGATCATCTTGATATTTTAATAAATTGTGACAATTTGATTTGCCTAAGATGCTGTACTGCAACAGTCAGCTATTGGTGACAGTGCCATTGTTACAATTTCCTCCTTTTTCAGAAATATGTCAGTTGGCTATGAACCATCAACTATACCACAAGTAGAAAGGCAAATTGACAACACATGTGAGATGAGTGCTTCTAATATGGAAGAGGACTTGCTTACATTATTTTTATTGAAGTACATAAAAAGACCTTAATTCAAGTATCTTCACTTTAATGTGCAGTGGCAAATCTCCACCTCATGTTCCCATACTCAGTCCTAAGCGTAATGGAAGACTCGATGTAGCTGTCTAAAAAAAAAAAGGTTTTAAAACATGATCATTCTAATTAGCAATGTATGCACCTCCCATTGCCCTGCCTGGACCCAGAACACTTGACTCACTGGGGGATGTCTTTCATTGGGGCTTAAGTGGTCTGCTTTGGTAGAGCAGCTGGTATCAAATACTTTTGCTCAAATTCCAGTATTTCTAATCCTTCAAATGCCAGAACAAATTTCAGATTCATAGGAGCAAACTGACCAGCCCGACTGTATCTGCTCCAAGAGCATACAAATATTCCTGCCTTGCATTGTTTAGACACTTTCTAAGGCATTGTACAACCCAATGCTAAGTATACTATTGACTTTACTGTTAGCAGTAGAAATTTCAGACAGGATCAGCATATGCTCTCTAGCAGTTGTGGGCTTCCACTTGACAAAAAACATGGTCCTGCAAAGACGATTTTCCACCAATGTTGTTTGCAAAATGTTACTTAAAACATTTTATGAAATCACTGTGGCACGGGTTCTATGTCTTGCATGTTAGCATTTATATACCACTCTTCCCCCCCCAAAAAAAGGCTGGTCAAAACACTTCATTTGTTAATTTAATTTGCATCAAAGTATAGGAGAACTGCCACAAGCAGATTTACCAGTCAGTTCTAAAATCAGCAAAATCTCAAGTGCTCTACTAATGTTTTAGCACATTTGGTTTAAGTTATGCCACCCAAGGCTTGTGACAATTTTCTTCACATGAATTCAGTATGGCAGCTTGACCTACTTATTCTTGAATTTTCAAGCAGCACAATAGGGATTTTTTGCCTTATGTTGTTTTTAAGAATTTAAAGCCCTCTACTATCTGCAGATACTAACTGTTGTACATTGAATATTTGACACCAAATGAGACTAGTTATAAAAACATCAAACTTTAATACTGAACAGAGAAGGACTACATGCACAATCGGAGACAGCCAAAGCAAAGCTTTTTTAAACATTACTGTAATTTCAAGTGTTCTAGGCCACTTGAAAAAATTTCACTTAGATGAGTTGTGTCTTCAAAAGATTCTTTACTATGCGGTCCATCTTGATTCTATTTATTGTGATGACACTGCTAGACAGAAAGCATTCAGTCTTGGCCCCTTATGCCACATGTTAATTTTTTGAGCAAGGAAATGTAATTCAGCCAACCTTAGCACATTTTCCAATTTATCTGAACACCTTTAACAATTGTAGCCAAGAGTTTTTCTGCTAAAAGCCATTCCGTTTTGTGCATTTCTTTGTGACCATTTATTGTTTGTGTGTTTCAAACCCATGCCACTATCTATTCCAGTGTTCAGAACTTATGTTGCATAGTGGGAATGAAAATTGGAACCAGAAAGATTTTATATAATGCTGTTGTATCCAGAAAGGAAAATTAAACTTTTGGCTGACCATTAAGACCATTGAACTTGATGATACTTGCTGGGTACACATGAAAAAAGACTGTGTTGTCAAGCATTCCACAATAGGAACTACACTAAACCAAACGTCTCCTGGGGAACTTTATGCAAGTAAAAGTACACTAGTGTCATCAAACACCAGATCATCTCTTCTATGTTTCATTTGTACAGTAGGACCCCCATATCTGCTGGGAATTGGTTCAAAACCCCTGTGGATATATAACCACTAGCTATATATTATGGTAAAAAGGGGAAAAATATTTTGACATGCATTACCAGCACTGACCACTACAGAGTGCCAGAAACCATGCAATGTATTCTTCACTAACAAGTATTCATAGCACAGTCTCTACCTCCATCCAGTGGCCTGTTCTGATAATACACATGAAAACATTTTTTTCTTTTAATATTTTCAGACTAGATAAGAGAAACCATGGATATGGGGGTCCTCCTGTATGCTAAATGCCAAGGTTAGAGGAGAGAAGGCAGAAAAGCAAAATATATTAGCCTCAAACAAGAGTCCCCTAGAACCTCTCTCTGAACCAGCCTCTTCAAAGGCCATAGCCAATGTCAAACGGCCGCCAAATCAATCACAAACAATCCAGAAAACCACCATCCTTAAAGGTTTTGAAACATGTTAAAAAGCCATGTCTTATTCAGGGACAGAGTAGGCCAGGGTGTAACGTGTGCTTCTGCACAGCACTAATGTGCACGCTGCTGTTTGGCTACACGTGAGTTAAGGACCTGGTTTTATCAACATTTGATGCTACAGGTAAGATACATTGCAATTCTTTTTGAGGAGGCTTTTATTTACAGCCATATTGAGGCTGAGAAACCACAGATCAGGAAGATGTCAATTACGAGCAGTCTCTTTCCTATGAATAGCACGGAAAATGTCAAATCCTAGTTTCTACACATCCTTCAGGGTAACCCTCCTACAAAGCAACACAATGCCTGGAGCAAATGGCTAAGTTCTTGCTAGAATCCACCCTTCTCTGCTTTGCCAAACACAGAAAAATACTACTGTTTATTTACATACTTCTTAACAACAACATCTGCCTGCTGGCTGAATAACAATGCCACATTTACATTAAAAATGTTATTTTGTAGACAAGACTGATTTTTCTCATTGGACTTGTGTCGTAAATCTTCCAAAAATGCTGCTTTCAGCCTGTTTAGCTCTGTGGCAAAGCTCTTCATTTCATGGGGGGAAAGGTTATAGTCTGCAAAAACAAAAAGCAAAATTAAGCTTTATAGCCTTTGAAATTTGAAAGGATGGCTGTCATCCAAAGGGGCAAGAAAATCAACCGAAACAATATTACAGTAGGCTGTGTGTCTGGGAACGATGCATATTTGGAATGTAAACCCATTCAAAGCCACCTTGAGCAAAAAACAACAACAAAAAAAAAACCCAACACCAAAAACCACTACATCTTGCTGAACATACCTTTAGCATTCTGCATTATTTGAGACACAATTCGCCTGATGCCCTGGTCAGCTTGATGAAGAACACTGGCTGCACAAATAGCACGATCCATCTCCTACCCAAGATCAACAAAGTTACAAAATTGTTACATAATTTTGTCCAAAAAGATGGATTCAGACGTGATGGCACTCCATGATTTCTGTTATGAGCAGCAGTTGGCTTTAGGCTCATGTGCTCGCTTCTCCCTTGAACAAGGGAAGGAGAGCCAAAGCTACCCATCCTGTTTAATGATTTGGAATCTTGGTACAGTATGTGGAAAAAACTTCTGGCAGACTTAAGCTACTTAAATAAAAGCAAATTTTAGCTTTCTATGAATTTAGCTAAGAACTTACACATCTCTTCTTTGGCAGAGAAGAAAATGTCATGAATAGAGTCCCACAAACTATGGAGCTAACATGCCTTTCCACTAACCTGCAAGTCAGAGCACAAATACCTCTGAATACGCACACAGTATGTTTGCCTCAGTAGGTGAATTAGCCTTTACTACAGGGCAAAGGAAAGAGCTCAGATGGCATTCTGCCCTATAAGAACCACAGTCTACTACAAGCATTTTACTCAGAATTAAATAACATAACAAACATGCTTACAAAATGGTAGCCTTTTTCAGAAAGACCAGAATCCTCAAGAAGTGTCAAAAGCCACAGAGGGCCTATTAAAATAATATGAGAATATATATATTTAAAACCCTAGCACCTCAATGGCAGCCAGAATTTCATCCTAGTAGAGAAGATAAATGGAGGGTGTTCCTTAGCTGAGACGCAACTGCTAAAATTGTCTGCCTTTTATTAGCCACTCACTAGGGGAAGAGAGATCAGAGTTCAGATAAATGATCTGTACCACTGAAAAGCTTTACATGGGGCAGGATGCTGCTAAAATACTAATATGAACACTACCATTAAGAAGGTGTGGTACAGGATTTCTGGAGGGAGCATTTTTAGAGCTAGATCTGCCTTTTGTCATAGTGCTATACTCAGACTATCATGAAATACCACAAAGGGTACGTCAGCTACTTGTTTTCAATGAAGCTGCTAATACACCATAAAAAACAATCATAATGTTTTCAGTGCTCTTGAACTTTGCCAGTGGCATTTAAAATCAATAACTGAAATATATCCCAGGCAATTTAATCTCATAATTTAAAATAATAATTATATCAACAGCAATTTATAGTTTTAACCATTTCAGTTTTTCAGCTGTTCTACAGAATATAGTCCAGGGAACTAACAGATTCAGTGAAATATGATGGAAATAGAAAGTGGTTCTCTATGAACGGCTATAGTCTGCTTGTATTTTGCTGGCAATTTTCTAAATGAAACTGGCAATTTTCTACAATACAGTCATCAATTTTATGGTCTATAAATCTCTGGGAACAGAAACCAAATAAATGAAGTGGATGAGAGATATATGTATTGAAAACGTTTTGCTCCTGGGGATGCAATAGAGTGAGTTAACTCTTCAACTCTAGAAGATCAGCAGCAGGTCAAATGCCAGGTGTGAAATGAGCGTCCTCAAATTGCCTGTACACCCTCTTGTGCAACTTCAACACTATCAAATGTACTAGTTATATAGTCTCCCCATATTACCTTTGCTTCCATATTCTCTTCTAGGGGTTTCACCGGATGTTCCAGAGCAGTAGATAAGAGATCAAGCACCTGAAAACTGAATGTAAAAAATAACAACCAAAACTATTTAAAAGAAATGCTCCTAAGTTGAAACTGGAAGATAAATAACAGATCAGAATCACTCGCCAAAGGAGGCAACGCAAATCCAAGTGATAAAACACTTAAAGAATATAGCTTAGACTGCAGAGCCCAAGAACGGAATGATTAAATTGAGATGTTATAGTTCAAAATACAATTCAGCTATCAACTTATGCGTTTTTGTCAAGCACTCTCCCTTTCCCTCATTCTCAAAAATTGTTTTGGTAACAATAACTCTCACACGGCTTTTGCTAGATTTTTTTTAAAGGGAGGGGCAGAACATTTGAGATGTTGTCATACACTCTACAAGTTTCTTCCTTCTGATTAACCTTCCTTCTTCTGTTACAAACCCCCTGTCTCAAGCAACAGGAGAAAAAAAGCACAACCAGCTACGGTTATTTCCAGTTGGGCTTAACTCTCACCTAACTCTCAGACACAAGGAGATGTTTACTGCTTACAACTTGAGAGTAAAAAGAGACAAAACACAAGGAAAGGGGGTGATGTTGCCAAGTATTTGTTCTGTGCTGTTGTGAGGTGCACAAGATCAATACTTTAAAAGCTGCATAAATTTAGAGCTTGCATCAGCTCCACTACACACATGGAAGTCCAAGTAACCCCCGTTAATTAAATAACTGATTCCATTTCATTACATACTTATCTGCTAATGAATATTCTGCACTCTTCAGAATGAGACTATTTCGCTCCCATGCATATTTCTCAGGATTTGGACATTCCATTTTCTGTACCATTGCACATATAGTTTCTTCAGGTAATGGACATTTTCTCTGACTGTTTCTCTGCATACAAACTTCAACCTGACAATCCAGGAACAACTGACAGAAACCCAGTGTGTCTTTAAAAAAGAAAAGAAAAGAAAAACCATCTATGTATAAAAGATGGCCATTTTAAACATACCAGTGACATAACAGATACAGAAACTTCACATAAATTAAAAGCCATGGGGTGAGACTAAGAGTAAGAACAATTAAGAACTTGGCAGATATAGTTAGAACAACTGCTCACCTATTAGAAGTCATTTTATTTATTTATTTACAAGATTTTTAGCCACACCATTACCAGTGGTCTCTGAGCAGTGTACAACAATATTAAAACTTTAAAAACATATCATAGCATTCTTCCCCAAGCATAATTTTATTTGTATGGATAACAAAATATTTTAAATTGGTATTCCATCACTACTTCTTAACAAAGTTTTCAATGTAACAAATTTTTAAAACTCTGCATAAAAAGGTAGCAATAAAATAGCAACAGTATCAAGAGAAAACAAAACTTCAAAGAAGACTGAAAAAATAAGAAAGGTTGCTTGAGCAGGTTGATATGGAAGAATATGGCCTGGATCAGGGTGTTCCAGATAGCAAACGGAACTCTGCAACGTTCCTTGAAAGATACCTGTGTGTGTGCTGATCTGGTATCTGTTCCCAATTAGCAGCCCTGCAGCTGTATTTTGGACAAAATGCATTTTCCAAATTTCATTCAAATAGCAGACCTTCACAGGAAGCACTGCACTAAGCTAAACTGAAGGTTACAACAGCATGGATTACTATAGCCAAGCTATTTTTGTCCAGAAAGGGTGGTCACCTTGTAAAAGACACCCTTCACCACACAAGCAGCCTGTGCTTCCAGTGACAGCTGCTAACAAGCTGTGAACTTAATAGTTTGGGGAGAGTGCAAGTCTTGTAAACAGTCTGGATATCTTCCTAGTACAAACTGCCTACTAGTGCCTCTATTTTTTCATGACTAAGAACAGACATCAGTTTAGGACTTTTGTTGTCTCACTAGAATTTACTTGTACAGAGAGCTAGAGTTGGGTGTTACCTGTATTCAGACATATAACTTCAGAACTGTAGATAGCATCACTTAGTATAGGCGTTTCTCTCCTGGGAGTTGTCAAATTGGTTTCTATGCTCAAACCACAGCACTTAAGAGTCACAGAGCAAAGTTCCGGCTTCATCATCAATATGAAAAGCAGTCAATGGTTCTCAAGTTAGTTGAAATTCAGTAACAAAGTTATACTATATACATCTGGTGACATCATCAGCCACAGCCATATTTTGTTAATGAAAAGTTTCCTATCTTCTCTTTCCAAGGTTCCTAGGCTCCTGTAGGTTTATATTGTTCCTGGGGAAGTCTTTGAGAACAGTAGGATCAGGGGACATTAAATGTCTGAAAGTCCCACAAGAGGACCACCAGCAGAATTTTTTGGACATTTAAGAGTCTCCATGCCCCAGTCACACTGTCCGCAAAGGCTTCCTCGGGACCAAAGGGATCCCGGAAGCTAGTGGGCAGGGGGAGAAACAGGAAACTTTCACTAAGAAAATATAACCATGGGTGATGACATCACCAGGCTTATGCAGCATAACTTTACTGGATTTCAGCCACTACCTACTAATGTTGTCATGGTATAGACTTCCTGTGTGATACTTTGTTGTTCATGGCCAAATGGAGCCATGAAGGGTTGCATAGGGCAGTGGTCCCCAACCTTGGGCCTCCAAATGTTCTTGGACTACAGCTCCCAGAAACCTTCACCATCACATCTGCTGGCCAGGATTTCTGGGAGTTTGTCCAAGAACATCTGGAGGGCCAAGGCTGGGGACCACTGGCATAGGAGATACAAAGAAAGGATTCTGCCTGCTTAGATGTAGCTTCTCAAGTATTGGTTTACACTGCTGAATCACAGGGTTGAGCTGCCAATTTAAAATATAAAATCAAACTTACATCGCCGAGCTAACTGGTACACTTCATACCTCATACTCCGATAATAAAAATTGTCATCTAGAATAAAATATATTGGTGTGAGAGAGGGGGAATCTATTAAATATTGACAGGATGCAGAGTCTTCTTTTCCTGTAGATATTAATCCTTGCTCTTTCAAACTGCAGACAAAGCTTTTCCATGTTGCTTCAGTTCTGCTTGGAGGAGGAGAATAATAATGGCATCCTGCAATAAGTGCCTGAAGGAAGTGTTCAAGGTACAACAATAACTCATGTCGATGCAACCTCCAGCGAGAGATCTATAAAGGAAAAGGAAAATTATTTACGGTTAGTTTACAAGATGTTTGACTGCAGTCTGAAAGTGAATCAACAATGGGCATTTTGACTTCTCAGTATAAAATGAATAGCATTTGTCTTCCTCACATCTTAGAAATTCCGAACATTAGTTACATATTTTCCTGTGCATAATCCAATCATTCCACTGTCACAAAAAATTCCATATTCCTACAAATATTTTGCTGGAAACCCCTAATTTACCAAAAATTATTCTACTACTTACCATCCCCAAAGTGCACAGAAATATTTGGTTTTGATGCAAAACACTAACATAACTATGTTAGAATTTATATCCAGCCTTAATATCAGTGTAGTGATGAATTCAAGATAGGGAGTGATGTTAGTCCATTGCAACAAAAACCATTAAGAGTTCTGTGAGGATCTAAAGGGAAACTTTTTTTAGGAGCATACTATTGTAGGCACTAGAGCAGTGGTTCTGCAATTCCCAGAAATCCTGTCCAGCACAGCTAATGGTGAGGGCTTCTGGGAATTTTAGTCCAAAAACACCTGTGGACCCCAGGCAGGGAACCACTGGATTAGAATGGTTAAAAAGTCATTCCACACAACCTTATGTCACAATAAACTATCAGAAAATCTTACAGCTACAGAAATAGGGAAGAGTTAATACTTATCTCCTATCACTTGCAATGACAGATGCCTATACTAGAGTAGTAGCTGTGGAAATCATAGCTCTCAAAACATTAGGGGTTATTTATATATCACTTTTTTATATATCACCAGTGAACATTATATTAAAATGGATGCAAAAGACAATCCTACTGTAACTTGTGAACAAGCACTAAAATAGTGATCAAAACTATAGCTCAGTAAAATTAGAAATAACATCCCCAGTAGTGTAATAACACTACTAGTAGTTTTCAATCAATATAATATTTTAAAATATGCAATTACTGTTTTACTTACACATTATGAAAAATATGGGGTTCGTTTTTAAAAAGGCGACTTTTTCCCATATTTTATTTTTCCACTAATAAATCAAACATTTCACAAAAAATCAGTTTGCATAAACTAATTTTCAAGGAAAAAAAAGAATCACAGAAACCTTCCGTTAGGAGACTGAAATAAGGTCAACTTAACCCAAAAAGGTTTAATACACAAAGGATCAGCAAATATGCCTTCCTAGCATACAGATTTATGAAGACATTAACAGTTTAACACACCTGGAGAGTGTTTATTCTAAGTAACCCTCACAGCTAATTTTTGCCAGAATCCTATTGTTTAGTTATGATGGGTTTAGTACAACAGTGTAAATTGCTGCTAGTTAACAAATTGCCACTTGACTGCACACCAATTATCAGAGTTGGCACAAAATAGGGAATGACAAGTTACTTGTTAACTGGGAGAAGTCTGCCGCTACATTTTATGGCACTGCACTTGTGCTAGAATAACTAAGCAACAGAATTCTTGCCTCTAAAGGGAAAAGTATAGGATTATCTTCCTAAATTTGTCTGTAAGAACTCAAAACAAACAAACAAACAAACAAAAAAACTGACACCAGCAGTGATCACAATGTTAAGCAAAACAAACAAACAAACAAAAAACCTGACACCAGCAGTGATCACAATGTTAAACTTAGTGATTGAGATGTGGGTCCATGCATCATTTACTGCTTGTTCAGTATTTACTTTCTGTCGACTTACTGGATTAGCATTGAATAAACCAGTGGCCAGGCACAGAATTTTCGCTTATCAGTAAGAAAGAGAAGGAAACTACTGACCAAAGGCTGTTGTGCTTCTGATTCCAAGGTGTCCTCTGTTCGACTGAAGGCTTCCACTGGAATGAGGTCATCATAAGAAAGAAGGACACACTGCCATCCCTTGCACTTCCTTAAGGAGTGGCTCAAGGCCTGAGCCACAGTTGTTTTACCCGCTGCTGGTAAACCACAAAGCAGACACAATCCCATCTGGTGATCTTTGTCCTTCTGTTCTTGTTGTGCCATTTGGGCTTGAGTTTTTCTGGAGCATTCACTTCTGTGACAAAAAGGAACTGTCAGCACAACCTCAGTATCTTCTGCCCGCAGCACTGTGCTTGCCGATTTAGGGTTGTGCTGTAGTTACATTCTCTCTTCTGATCAGAGACACAGAGCAGTAAAACGGTTTGCCAGGACACCAAGTTTCCTGCCAGCTTTTCATGACATGGTTTTCCTTACTAGAAGGCAAGAAGTGGCAGCTGTTCCTAGAAAGCAAAGGAGAAATCCACAGCTGCATTACTGGGAAGGAAAATCAAAAAAGAAAAAGATGAGAAAAGAGTAAAGACATATATTATTAGAACTCAAAGAAGAAATGCAAACTGCCCGACTGTCAAACTCATCGTTAATTAATGGTCGTTGTATTCATAGAGATGGAATTACCTATTTACAGACGAAATAATAATAGAATTATCCAAATGCATGCATGTATGCAGGCATGCATGAATAAATAAATAAAAGTTACGATTTCCAAGGTTCATCCGCCTCCCTCCAGTCCCTTCCCGACTTGCAAAGATGTTAAGGAATTCCTTTACGAAAACAAAAGGAGCATTAAAAAAAAAAAGAAATAAAGTAATTAAATAAAGAAGGCAAAAACGTGGTGGCCCCTGAAAGACTAAGGGCTATATTCTAATGCAAGCTTTCGTGGACGAAGCCCAATTCTTCAGACCTCCTTCCCACGAGAATGCTTTCCGGGACCGCGCTCCATTCAAGACGGTAGGAAGGCGGGCCCCATGGAAGGCCATGCCCTGCAAGAGGGACGTTGCTGGGCTCCAAACGCTGCCAGGGAAGCCCCAGCGGGAGCCCGAATTCTCCGGGAGAGCCCCGCCCCCCCTCACCCTCAGAGCCGCAGCGCCCCCAATGCGAGAATAGCCCTCCCCTCCCCCCTCCTCTCCTCCCCTGCCTCCGTTCTCGCCGCAGGATTCCTTCGCTCGCGTCCCCGCCCTGGACGCTCGGCCCCACCCACCTCAACCCTGACGAGACCAGCCCATCTCGCCCGAGCAAACTTCGCGATAACCTGGAAATCCCATCTAGTGCGGGACTCGCCTCGCGAGAGTGAAGTGCGGTGGTGGGGAGTGGTTTGGGTTGTGGTTCTTTCCCTCATGTCAGCCGCCAAAAGGAAACGTGGTGGGGTCCGAAGGGAGAAAAGCAGCAGGGAGGGCGGTCAAAAACGGGCAGAGCGGGGAACAATTCCTGGCGGCGGACGAGCGGCTGTGTAAAAGGAATGGCCTGGCCGCATCCGTATTGCAGCTGAAGAGAGTTTTTGGGTGACTGGCTTGGTTTCATTCGGGGACAGGTTTTCATATCCCGGTTGTGGCCAGGTGGCAAGCCTGTGAGGTAATGGCCTCCAAAAAAGTCCACCTGTCACTAACGGCCCTGCTCACATCTCGCAGACTCAAAAGCCGTGGCTTTCTTTATGAAATCAACCCATGTCGTGGAAGACCTTCGTCTTTTGTCAGAGTCTAACTATCCGAGCCTCCCCATCCCATCCTTGGCGTTCCTGGGGAACTTCTCTGCCCCCTGAACTCTTAACCGTGGGATACTCTGGTTTCTGTTCAGATCGTACAAATCTTTTGCCTTTTACTAGAGATGAACGACATCTTTAAAGCTGAAAGTTACGAGGATTGACTCTTAAAAATTGTAATCAGTCAAGCATCAGTAACCGTCCCCGTCCTAAAACAAATATGCTTTCTTTAGGTCTTGTGTGTCATATCTTCTAAATTGTAACGATCTACAATATTCTGTTGAATACGTCCAAAAAAGTAGCCATGTTAGTCTGTTGCACAATGTTGGCAAAAAAAGGAAAATAAAAAAGGAAATAAAATTGTTACTCTCTAAAGTGTTACAGCGTTTGGTGGGGTTCCTTTCCACTCTTCTGCCTGTATCTGCCTGAGATTTTAGAAACGTTTACATTGTTGACAGGTAACCACTAGATGGCAGTAGCAGCTATGTTATCTTTAAAACTACCACATGTTGGCCTCATCCCTGTCGGAGTTTAAACTAATAAAGGGCGATTGCATAAATTACAGCAGTGAATTGCCACTAAATAATGAGATATTATTTGCCTTCCTAGTCATGGACCAGGTTGGATGACTGTGACCAGGAATTTGAGTAAGGTAAAGGTTCCCCTTGACATTTAGTCCAGTCGTGTCTGACTCTAGGGGGTGGTGCTCATCCCTGTCTCCAAGCCATAGAGCCAGCGTTTGTCCAAAGACAGTTTCTGTGGTCATGTAGCCAGCGCGACTAGACACGGAACACCGTTACCTTCCCACCGTGGTGGTACCTATTTATCTACTCACATTTTTACATGCTTTCGAACTGCTAAGGAAGGTGAGTAGCAACTCATCAATTAGTGGCAATCTGCTTCCCTTCTGCACATATGCTGGCATAAATAACTGCTAAGGAAGGTGAGTAGCAACTCATTAATTAGTGACAATCTGCTTCCCTTCTGCACATACGAGCCCTGGCCATTCTTTACTGAACTCACACACCAAAAGTAGGAATATTAAAAAAAAAAAATTTATTTCTCTGGTAATAATTTAAGAGTTATTCCTGAAATACTACTGGCTTGTTTTAAAAAGACATGACAGATAGCAGTACCATGAGTAAGAAGGATCTTGGAATTGTTGTATATCACAAGCTGAATATGAGCGTGTGGCTGCGAAAAAGGCAAATGGTGTTTTAGGATGTATTAACAAAAGTTTCATCTCCAAATCCTAGTCCCCCTCTATTTGATACCGGTTAGGCTTCATCTAGAGTACTATGTCCACTTCTGGACATTGCACTTCAGTATAATCTAGAGTACTGTGTCCACTTCTGGACATTGCACCTCAAAATGCCGACAGACTGCAGCAAGTTCAGAGGAGGACAACAAGGATTATCACAGAACTGGGAACCAAACCCTATGAAGAAAGACTGAAATAACTGGGCATGTTTAGCTTTGAGAAAAGGAGACTGAGGGGAGATATGATAGCACTTTTCAAATACTTGACAGGCTGTCATTCAGAGGAGGGGCAGGATCTGTTCTCAATCATACCAGAGTGCAGAACATGTAATAATGGGCTAAAGCTACAGGAAATCATGTTTAGGTTCAATATAAGGGAAAAACTTTAACTGTTAGAGCAGTACCAACATACCCTCCAACTTTCAGCTCTCCTGGACAGAGTTCCACCTCTTGGGTGCACAACTCACAGCCCCCCCCCCGCATGCAGGGTTCCGTTGCAATCAGAACCTAACACAATCACTGTGCAAAGGAGGAAAACAGCTGTGCGCAGGGAGGCAGAGGTCCAGCTTACAGGGAACCTTGAGTAGTATGATAATAGAACCAATTATTTCAGGAGGTAGTGAGCGCTCCAGCACTAGAGGCATTCAAGAGAAAATTGGCAGCCATCTGTCAGATTAGCTTTGATTCAGATTCCTGCATTGAGCAGGGGGTTGACTTGATGGCCTTATCGGCTCCTTCCAACTCAGTTATTTCTCTGTTTTGCTCATTTACAAAATTGTTGATTATTTTCATAAGGCCTATATTTCAATATAGAAGTGTGCAATGGAGTTTTCTACCAGTATTATGGTTTGGGAAAAATGGGGCGGGGCAATTGTTATATGTTAGAAAATCTATGAGTACAACAGTACCACTGTAAACTTGATTTCTTAGTGGAATTGTAGATTGCGCAGTCCTTACATTCCTTAATCTCAGAAAAACAAGCTAGAATGTGGATGTAGAATTTCTCAGATTAAAATGAGTGTTCAGACAATGTCCTTTGTATACAATACTGCACTATCTTTTTGTGTATGTACACACTCATGTGAATAAGAGTTCTGTAGGGATAAACATTTCCCCAAACTTTGAAAATGCTAGTTGAACAGCTACTTTGATGCTGTTATGTTATCTACTAACTCACACTTTAGTTCTGCAGCAATCTCTGTCAGTCAAGCAGAGCCTAATAAATCCCCCCTATTGTGTCTAACTGTAACTGTGCAAAATGAGGCTTGATATGCATGTGACAGGCTGTAATATATGGCAGAGGGGTTACCTTCTGTGGGCCTTATGTTGCCCAGGCCAGGCTATTGATTGTACTAGTTAGTTATGCATAATGTGTCCATTCTTGAACCTCTATAAGGAAAATCTATATAACACTTCAATATTTTGTCAGTCTACAAAAAGTAAATGCACTGTGCAAAATGTATTCACCAAGCAGCAGTTACATGATTAGTAAACATAACAGTCATGAGGATAAAATTTTTAAAGGATGTAGTATTGTACAGATACCAACTCTCTCCCTCACCATCTTGGTGATATCCAATTAATACTTTGGTGCAATAGATCCATAAGAAAGCTGAGTGCTATTGCATTTCTACCCATCTTGCCTAGAGAACTGCAAGAAATGTGACAACTTTATACTCCAATGACTCTTACAAATGGTTCAAGTCTTCTAAATTATTCCTGCAATCCTTAAATATGATTTAGTTAATATCAGCATGCACTGTTGCATTTCATCATATGTAATTTAGGCTAAAATTTTGTATAAACTTGCTTGAAAACAAGTTTACTGAGGATAATTGTACTTACTTTCAAATCAGTTTGCACAGGATTACATTGATGGAGCAAGAGCAGTAAAGTCATTTTTGTAGATGAACACACTTACCAAGAGTTTTCATTCACAGTAAACAAATTGCATAGTCTTTTGCTTGTAAAACAAATGTTATTTATTTATTTTAAAATATTTTTACCCTGCCTTTCTCCTTAACAAGGGCCCAAGGTGGCTTACATCATTAAAAGGCAAAATAAAGACAGAATGGAAGAGGTATGAATATAGGGAAGAGGGGATCAAACTACACATCACTTATGGTTCAGAAAGCAAGGCCCCAATGCCAGCATATAGGGCTGTACCTACCTACTTGAGACTGTGAGAGGTAGAAGGCAGAATGGCAGCTGCAAGATATAGACTGAACATAGCATGCAGTTTGACTGCTGACTACTTCATGTTACTACAATTTTATTGCAGAAATGTAAACTATTGTAGCTGATGAAGGAGGCTGCACAATTTTCACAGGTTTAGAATGTAGGAATGGGAGACACCAAGTCACTCATCTATACACATTTTGCCCATTTCTGTGTAAAAAAAAAGCATCTAAAATGTCAGTTTGTCTTTGGACTGTGAAAGAATTTCTAGAAATATCCTACTGACAAAAAGTAATATACAGGTGGCCCCAGTTATGCAGATCTTTCCATGTGAGTTTGGCTTGGTCATACTCTTTTACACTGGTATATGGATGACTTATCTCTGGATGGAGATTGCTTTGCTACGTTTATACAGTTCTTTTTCCTTCCTGCGTTCCAAATCCAGAACAGGAATCTATCTGTGGATATCTATTTCAGTGGACTGCCCATCCCTTGCTAAACTGGGAGGGGGGGAGGGAACCTGTGAAAGTGCTTAACTGGCAAGTGTGCCAGTACAGTTATTGCCTCCTTGCTTGATTTCTTCATATAACTTGTCCAAAGACTTTTCTCATCCTTCATTGTATTTCATTCACATTTTTGCTTATGTTGGGAGCAGCTCAATTCACAGAAATAAGCATTCACACAAAATCTTTTTGTGGGTAAAGCATGCCACGCGCTAGAACATATTGTCAGAAATCATTACACTTTAAAATGTAATAGCTGCCCCACAATTTTCATAAGGATCACATTCATATTGCAGTATTTGTAGAGTGAAGGTTTAACACTTTCTTCCTTTGCTATGATCTTGACAAATAAATCTCACACCTGTTTTCACCAAAATCATAGTTAGGGAGGAAAGGCTTACATATCCCTCCTCACATGCTGAAATCCCACTGCAAATATCCCCTGAGATACACGTCCCAATCATCTTACAGTTTAAAGACAGATACAGTTCAGTGATACATCTGTTTAGCTATGTGTTGAGAAAGGTCTCACCTATGTGTATCAAGTATAACATAAACAGCACCCTGTACTTTAATCATCAAGGCAGTCTTATCTTGCAACTGTATCAGTCTTTTAGTAATTACAGTGAGGTCTTTATCTATGTATTGGTAAAAAAATATAATACTTTCAAAAACATTTAATTGACTGAGCATTGCCACATCCCCTTTCCTTGCATGTTCAAGATAGCAATCAAAATGCTTGATAATTCCTCAGGAGACACTTGCATAAACAGGTCTTGATGGGATTGGGGGCCGTAAAGGGGGTCTTTGAGGAGGCTGCCCAGGCTGACTTCGTAGTGGTGGCCTGAAAGAGATTAAGATATATGTGTTTTTATGAATCAGACTTGCCAGTACAATAGTTCTTAAAGCAATTTAAGAAGATGGAAGCTCCACTGCTTGATTGCAATGGGTTGTACTTTGGGCCTGAAATCTGAAGACATCTCTGATAGCTTTAAAACACTATCTTGTGCAATATTTATGAAGCCCTGATGTATTTTTATTTCTAATTCTTTGCTTTTGCAATCCTTATTTAAATTATTGTAACATTGGAACTTGCAAGTTGGACATCATCAACACTGCGGGTTGCATCCCATGCAACCACAGCGCTACTTCTGCTCTTATCTATTTAGGTTGTAGTGCAGTTATACTGTTTCCTGGATAGAAGACCCACTGAACTCAGTGAAGTTTACTCTTGTGAAAACATGTATAGTATTATATTGTAAATGTGGAAAGATGTCTGCTGCTGCCAGGATTGGGGTTGGGCTCTCTGTAGTTATTCAAAACACTAGTTGAAACATCTAAATAGTTTGATCCAGTGTCTTAGAATCGATCGGCTGAAAAATCCTTTCTTCTGCCCAGCTAATACATTTGGGTAGTTGTAGTCGGGGGAGAGAAAGGCAATGGTTATGTAAAGACAGAAAGCATGTGAAATGATTATGCTATGACACTCTACCATCTCGCAGTTCTAGTGACTACTTAATAAATTACATCACTATCCCACTAATGAGACAGTCGAAAGAAAATGTTTTGCCTTGTTTAAAAGACTGGCTACAGCCTTATATCAGTAGAAAATACGAGTGAAAAAATATACTGAAAAGTGCAAACCTTGGAGCAGGGAAGTGAGATATCGTAAAGACTTCAGAGTTTGATGTCGCTGGCTAAGGAGGAAAATAACACCAAAGGAAGAACAAATTATATTTTGTTTTGGCATTGTATAACAGCAATGAAACCACTCCATTTTTACTTTCTAGTAAAATACTGCCAGAAATCTTGTTGGTAGAACTCTATCTGCAGAAGGTTGATGACATCACCAGCAGGGGGAATATTTCAGTGATTAAAAAGTTTCCCCTTATTTCCTGTGACTTGCCCAAATTTAGAACAATCTTTTTCATAACATGATAGCCATGGGAGCCAGGGTACAGAAGAAGGAAGTCTTTCATTACCGAAAATCACTGACACTGGATGACATTACTGGCAGGGAGAGATTTCCAACAATTATAGTCTTCCTCCTTCCATTCTGCAGCTCCCAAACCTTCTACACAGTGAAGAGGATTATTCACAAGTCGGACAAGCTGTGAGACAAAGGGAGGTGGAATCTTTAATTAGCAAAATCTCCCCTGCTGGTGACACCCACACCCTTCCACAGGTGTAACTACACCAAAAATATTTTAGCTACCTAATGCAACTCATATAATATCTGGCAGAACTGTGTTTCTAAGTGGAATATCAATGACTAGAAGAAAACACAAGGAATATGGAAAATTAGGTAACCTTCACCTGAATTTGTTATTCAGAAGGAGAAACTGGGTTCAAAGAAAGAAATATTCTTACCTGCCTATTATTTACAGGTTCACTTGGAGTGTTATTTTGTCTTGCTTGCCGTGCATTTTTAGCCCTTGGAAAATAATTAAAACATGATGGTAAAGTTAACATCGACATAAATCTTGTCTTTCATTAAGACTTCAGTTTGTTTCTGGTATAATGGATTTATGCATTATGCTTTTTGCCATTACTTCATATCTCAATATTTCACCACTGATTTAGATAAATCAATTTTAAAGACCAATACTCTTCATTTAATGATAGACACAGCCATCTTGGCAATCACCAGTCAGCTTTATAGATAAAAGAAAGATAGAAATAAGTAAAAAAGGGCAAAAACATGGTTGCAGTTTAAATACTAACTTTTTAATTTTTTAATCTGAGCTTTCATGGACACGTCCACTGTGATCCAAATTAAACTGAGTGAAACAAACCTAACTAAACTACTGCTTAAGCTATAGGTTTACATGTCTCTTTGGAAACATATTTGGGACATTCTTCATTCTTTTCAAAGTGAAATTTAGAAAGCACTGTGTTATTTTAGCTCTGTATTGTAACTGCTCCAAATAATGTTGTTTTGATGAAGTCAAACCATTCTTTAAGGGTTTTCGCCTAAGATGTTCTTCTTACTTTTCTTTCCCCATTATTTTACATTAAATGATCAGTTGTAACAATGTGTAGTTTTCATTTCTCCTTAAGTGACCATAATCTTCTAACTTTCTGCACTTTGAATGCTTTACAATTTTTACATCTTTACTGATTCTGCACACTATCTCTATTGTGATTTTCACTAAATTGCTATGAACCCTCTTCATTCAACTAAATTCCAAAATATTTATATTTGTCAACATGCTTCATACTTCCATTTTGGATCTTAGCTGCTTCGTTTTTACTGATTACCATGAACTTTGTTTTCTTAAGATTCATTTTTAATCTGTGTTTATTATTTACTTCATTGCCGCTATCAACCAGCAGACTGTCAAAGTTGTTAGACAGTAATACAAGGCATTACAAAGCAGCTCAAATATATAGTGATGGTTACACTCTATGTGTGGCCCTTTCACACAGTTCATCACTAATTGAAGAGATGGGCATATACGAGACTAGGAATACAGAGAGGGAATGACACTGGTCCAGGACAGCAAAATTAAAAATGAGATAGACTGCCGTTTCTGTTATTTTTCTCTTTTCTAAAGGCAAATTGATACTAATATTTAAATGAAATTATTTTGAAGTTTAAATTTTTGAAAAATATAATGAATTTAATTCTATTTTAATGCTTGTGTTGGATCCCTGACTGTGGAGCCAAGGGTCAGGAGTTCTATTCCCCCCTGTACCTTCCAATAGAACAGGCAACCTATGTAACCCTGGGCAAGCTACACAGTTCCAGGTTACCCCCAGAAGGGAATATAAACCACTTTGGAATACTCTGTACCTAGAAAACCCTGAAAAGGATTGCCAGAAATCAGAACTGACTTGACAGCACACAATTATTGCTACTATTTGTTATATCTTAATTTTATTTTGTTTTTAGCTGTTTTGGAAGCTGTTTTGAGTACCAATTCTAGGAGAAAGGTGGCATGCAAAACAAAAAAACACTTGTCTTAAACATCTGAAAAGCCAAGCCATTACTTTCCAAGCCAGTTCGCAATCCCTTAGCCCAGTGTATATGGGTCTACTCTGCTGAAGCAGCCAGTTAGTTTGAACATAGTAAGTTTCCCATTTAGGAAATGATCTTGTAATCTTCTCCCATTATTCCTTGAAAGAGGGATGGGTTATCTTGGCCTTATAGATGTCATCATACGCACATCATACCTTACCACTGGCAAGGCTAACTAGGGCTGGTTGGAACTGACGTTCAGCAATATCTGGAGACTGAATGAATAAAGAAATTTTGGCCAAGCATTGTAAACATCATGGGATGAAGGACCTACTGATCTCCTAAGAGGGCATTCCAAATCAGTGGAGCTACAACTGTATCCGCCATGTTAGACAAAATATTTTGTTATTGTTCCTAGTTTTAAAACATAGTTCACTGTGGGGTCCACTGTGCTTATGATTATTTTTCATACCTGCGGCGTCTTCTACAGTCTCTGCAGAGACGTCTTTTAATTGCATCCCTCTTGACAACTGCGATCACAACTAGAATCAGCAAAGGGAGAATAAGTAGAAAAAACACCAGGAGGCCATCACGAAGTGATGTATCTACAAAAGGAAACAAAATGAAAAATACTTGCTTTGCTTTTAAATTTAAGATTAAAATTGTGATCCTACAGAAGGTAAGGTTTAATCCCACATACTGACTCTAAACTCCCTGACATATTTTATTTCTTAGATACACACAGGCCTCTTTTTTCTGTCTTTCCCCTCAGCCAATTCTACATCCCATTCTTTGGAGTTCCTTTAAAAAGAAATGCTTATGCATAATTATATATATGTAATTATTTTAAATAAATAAAAAATAAATATGCTACCGTATTTTGAAGAACAGGAAAGATATGCATAATTATATATATGTAATTATTTTAAATAAACAAAAAAACCAAATATGCTATATTGAAGAACAGGAAAGATAGATTTTCTCTAATTTGCAACCCAAGCTGATATATGATTCCTCAGAATAAAGTCTTAATGAACTTTACTTCCAAGAGGAAGTACAGTTTAGGCATAGCTCCATGAAAACATATCTCATTGTTGAATAGGGCTTAATTCCAAGCAGGTTTCTCTATCAGATAGAATGATAGATCAGAATCCTGTGACAGATACATTTAAATTAAATTTGAACGTTTTAAGTTTTTATCAGTTGTAATACGATATGGAACTGAACAGATGAGAGAGACAAGCATTTGCTGGATCTGACCCTTAAGCAGTCAAAAGCATCCTTAATTCTGGAGAAAGTACAGGGTGGTTGCTAAAACATAATCATAAAAGGAGAAAATGCAAATAAAAAAAGAGGAGACATATAGTATATGTATAAAGTCAAAGACAGAAATAATTACTACTGTTCACACAGTAGTAAATTCAGTATATCTCAATATAAATGGAAAAGACTGTGACTACAAGTTCTGTAAGCCAGCTCATTCTCTTGTTTGTTTGTTTGTTTGTTTGTTTCTAGGCTGCTCTGGCTGGTTTACATATTAAACATATAAAACATAGACAGTTCCAAACAATGAACATAATAGTATAAAATCAAAATAAAGAGAAAAAAACCAACAATTTATATAATAATGATATAAAATAATATAGAGCAAGACAGCAAGATTGATAGTATAAATGTTGGGACCAATCACTGTGTTAAGATGTTGTAAGGTCCAGGAAGGCCTGTCAAAAAAGCCACGTTGCTTAAAAATTCTTAGTGAAGGGGCCAGGCGGATTTCTGGTGGGAGGTTCTTCCAAAGCTGAGGAGGAACAGCCGAGAAAGTCCGGTTTCTGGTTCTCTCCTTCCGGACTTCTCTCGGGCTCAATGTTCTCAACCACCTGGCCTGAGAAGATCATATGAGTCTGGCAGACCTTGTCAGGAGGAGGCATTCTGTCAGGTATCGAGGTCCTAAACTGTTTAGGGCTTTATAAGTTAACGCCATCACCTTGAAGCTGGCACAGAAACGGACGGGTAACCAGTGCAAGGCGGCCAGACTGGGACAAATGTGTTGATGTTTCTTGACACTACTCAATAGTCCGGCTGCCTTGCTCTGGACCTGCTGAAGTTTCCTTAACAGCCTCTTATGCTGTTACTATGTACTGACAGGTAACGTCAGGGCCTTTTTTCTCTGTTCTCATGGTTATTTGTTGTAACACTGCATTTGGCCTGGAAAGCCCCACAAGAGGTGAACACTGCCCTCTGCAAAGTAGTACACGTGGCTAAGAATATTGAGAAAATATCTGTTATTTTCAGGGATGAATACTTAGAGTGTTAAAGAGAATGAAAGGTGGATGTACGATTCTTACCTATATGAGTTGGACCACTGTCTATGCTGCCACCATAACCAGATTTGTCACAGAAAGGAGGTGCCCATCCAGGATTACAATGGCAATTGCCTTTATTGTTACACACCTACAAAAAAAGAGACAAAATGAAGAAATGTGGAATTAAAATGTTGGAAGGGGTGGCTTAAGCCAGGCTTTTAGTTTCCCATTATTTCTAGAGTTAGTATTTTCTAATTGTAGTGGGGAAAAGATAATCTAACAACAATGAATTCCTCTCAGAATAAGTAATATGGAGATTATTTAATATAACTAATAATCATCATCTTAGAAGTTCAGAGCTGGAAAGAGCCCTATGGATCATCAGTCCCTATCCAGGAGGCACAGTGGGAAGTTGACTTCTCTACCTCTGGCTCCATAGCCACATACCTAAAATTTCAAATAAATTTTCACCTCAGCTGTATTAGAAGTTAAGTGGGTGTCTAGGAAACAGTATTTATGGAATTTAGGTTTTAAAATATTTTTTGAAATGTTTTAAAACTGGATTTTAATCTTGAGTATTGTTTAATTGTGTTTTAATATAGTTTTGTATAGTTTTTTTAAACTGTTGTGAGCATCCTTGGGTCCCCTGTGTGGAGAAAGGTGGCAAATAAACAATATAAACAACAAACAAACAAACATCACAGAGACAATTTAATGTATAAATATTACATAGAAGTGTTGTGAGTAAAGCAACAATACTGATGAAAATCTATCTAGATTTTCAAAATATAATGATAAACTGTAACATGATCTTCTTGCTGGTGCAGTTCACTAACAAACAGATGCAGTAAATATATATTTGGAAATACATTTCATTATATTGGGTGTTAATTTCACTTTATAAAGACTTTAAACAAAGTACAAAGATTTTTTAAAATACCAAATGTGGAGAGAGATTATAACATCCATATTCCTGATTCCCTTCTATAGCACAATTTCTTCATATTTTGCAAACTCCCTACATTTACCATTTCTTTTCACCCAGTCATTAATCCAGTGTTTCAACTGAATAATATTAAACCAGGATAAGTTTTCCACTCCTAATAATCTATTACTTGCTCTTTACTATCCATCTTTTACAACCAATCTTTTACTCTAATAACCTGTTTCCTCTTTAATACTTTTTACTTCCATCATCATCATCATCATCATCATCATCATCATCATCATCATCATCATCATCATCATCATCATCATCATCATCATCATCTTCACTGTACAAATAATAGATAACTGAAATCAGTAATTAGAATTAGAATTAAACAGTTATTTAGCAAACAAATGAATATTGACTGTAATTTTTAGAAAAAAATAGGGGGACTGAGTTGTACTAAAGCGTGAATATATTACTGCAATTTACTGTTTATATCAGACAAACATTGTCTGATATAAACAGTAAATAAATTGACCAGAGATAGCAGGAATCTGCTTGTCTATGAGAGCTTCTTAGATGATGGAGTTCTGCTCCAGGCATATAATTGGTGGAAGGAAGGAATGCAGTAACACCTCCTTTTCACTGAGCTAGAGGCAAGTTCTGAGGTTAGTCTGAAAACTGGTTCAAAAAATAACTTCACTTAAATCTTTGACACAATCTTTTCCTTCACCATAGGCTGTTAAATGTCCAAAGTTACCCCCTGCATGTGGGCTCTCTTTACAGATCAGCCAGCTCATCTGAGACCTATCTGTGAAGTAGGCCTTGCAAAATTAGAGGTAAGATGCAGAGAGTTACTATTCAGGCTACCCACACTTTTGTAGCAATGGCTGCAATAAAGATAACATGAAAATCCTATCTTAGACAAATTGCTGAATGCCATGATATTTGGGTTACAAATGTCCTTTCTACTTTTATCACTAAAATGTTATCATTATCTTCTCACTTACTGCACGGTCATTGCATTTGTTCTTTACGTCACAGTTGTAGCCCAGAAGGCTTGCATTTACACATGTGAAATCAACACAGGCCTGAAAAAAAAAAACATAGATTTTAAAATCAAATTTGAAAGCTAACCATATTTTAAAAAAAGTAAACAGGCAATGGAGGGACAGTGCATAGGTTCAGATGTAGCACTAAACCACAGATAGTTATTCCCATGACTGAATCATACAATTCTGTCCTTCCTTTCATTTTCTTTAGCATTCAAGAAGAGATAAAAAGCTTCCTATTCCAGTTTTAAACTATGCAGAGTTCCTTACTAAATTGATCCCCTCACCTACAAATTCAAGCCATCCATCAAGCTGGTCGTGGAAAACTCTTATCATGCAAACTAGTTTGGCTCAAATAGGCCACAATCAAATGATTCTGATTTGTTTATGAAGTAGTTTAAACTAACTAGAATTCAGACAATGGACACTCTGGTTAGTCTAAAAGTGGAAGCAGATGCTTCTGATCTCATTCTAGAGTGAATGCCAGAAGAAATGATGCCAAATCAGCCCTGTGTTTTTACTTCTCATTCAAATGAATGAAACTGAAGATCAGCAGGGGAAATCATAGATTGGCTCTGTAAATCATAGGGCCGGGTAGGGCTGTGTATCCCCTGATTCATCATCATGAGTTTATTATAAGGCAGGGTGGGGTATCTTTGGCCATCCAGATTTGGAACCCTGGAAGCCCCAGCCTCTGGCCAGTGAGAGATGTAATCTAAAACATTTGGAGGACCAAAAGTTCCCCATCCAATTATGTGCCATCCAATTATAATTTATTATTTATTGTTGTTGTTATGATGTGCTGTCAAGTCAAAACTGACTCATAGTGACTCCAATGTGGTTTTCAAGGTAAGTGAGGTATTTAAGGAGTGGTTTTGCCAGTTCCACATCCCCAGTGATTGTCCAAGGCAGAGGCAGAGAAATGAACCAAGGTCTCCTGAGTCCTGGTCCATTACTCCATCCATAACTGATTCTCCCCATATATTGCAACTAATACACAATTAATTATCTGTTGTACACTTTTTAAATTGCATTTTGTATATTTTAGCCATATCACATGTTTTATGAACTGGTTGTACATTTTTTAAAAATTGCATTTTGTATATTTTTGCCATAGTTTTATGAGCTGGTCACCCGACCATAATAAATAAATTGATACTCCATCCATCCCATCCCACAGGATAACCACATTTCTTTATTAGTTACATTTCTATCTCACCTTTCCTTCATGGCCCAAAGTCACCTGATGAATTCCATGGCTCAAGGCAGACAAGAAAATGGATGTGGCCAGTCCCAGTCTTACAATTGAAGCACTAGACTACATTGGCTATCCATAGGATACGAAAAGGGTTGTCACACACACACACACACACACACACACACACACACACACACACACACACACACCCCTGGGAAGGTAGCTATGCATTTAAGGACTATATGACTAGGAGGAACTGAACAGCTACAAGTAGTGAACTGCAAAAAGAATCAGAACCCTATTTGTTGCTCTGCTACCATGTAGGTTACAATAGGACACAGGAGGCCTGCTTACCTTCCCTTCTGCACAGGCAGTGCCTTTTTGAACCAGAGCTGGATCAGGAACATCTGACCCGAGGTCAAAATCTGTAGTCACACAGGAAACACCATCATGATTCTGGATGTATACCTGGGAGGGAAGATTCTGCTGATTCACCGAGGTACAGTGAATCTTGCCACACAGACTGTTGCTGTACAAAGGACAAAGAGAGTCAAGGAGGCATGAAAAGAACGTAAAAACACTAGAGAGAAAATATGCAGTTAGACCCAGGAGGTTTAGCTTCATGCATGCTATTAGATTGTACATCATGTTTGGGCAATTTCCAAGAACTGCCTGAACTGTTTCCTATCCCTCCATCCATTTCATGAAAAATCATTCCTTTTCTTTAAGCAAGGAATGTACTTGTTTTATTTTTATTTAAAATATTTTTACCCTGCCTTTCTCCTTAAGCAGGGCCCAAGATGGCCTACATGATTAAAACCCAACATTTAAAACACTGGGTCCCCTTATCGGGAGAAAGGTAACATATAAATAAAACAACTGAACAAATAAAAGCCAAAAATAGTAAGCATACAAATATTTTATAAATAATCAAATAAATACTATACTAAAAACGATAAAGAAAATTAACACCAAAAAACCCACAAAAAGTAAGGTATGACAATCCATTTAAAAGCCTCCATTTAAAAGAGAAAGGTCTTCATCTGGTTGCGGAAGGACAACAAAGAGGGGGCCAGCCTGGTCTCCTGTAGGAGGGAGTTCCAGAATTTGGGGGCAGCTGCAGAAAAGGCCCTTGCCCACGTTCCCACTAAGCATGCCCTTGAAGGCAGTAAGACATAGAGAACTGCATCTCCTGATGATCTTAAAACCCAGACAGGCTCATAAAGAGAGATGGGGTCCATGAGATAGCTTGGACCCAAGCTGTTTATGCCTTTATAGGTACTATTTGTAAACAAAGCCTATGGGAGAGAAAACACCTTGCTTTAAATAAAAAGCTCTGCGGTTTATTTGCCACCATAGTCTATGGTAAATGGTACCACAAAAATGGAAACGAATATGACTCATCCTTGTTCTACATATTGAAGAAAACCAAAGGTAAGCTAGCTAACCTTTTCTGATGCTGAAACATTCCATTTAAGAGGGGATATTAAGAAGAGGGTAGGAGAAATCATTCACCAACCATTCATTCCCTCCTCCTTGTCCAAATGACTACTCAGCCAGTGGCTAATGCTAGGCTCAGTCTTGTTTGTTAAAGTTATGATTTACCAAAACTGCTTTCTCAACAGTTAAATTAATATCTGTTTTTAAAAATCACCAACCCCCACCCCTAAAATAAATCTAGGTCCCATCACAAGCAAGGAAGATTTCTGTAGTGCTTGCACTAGAATTTTACAGCTTAATCCAATGTGCACAGATGTCAACAACACTGAATACCAATGGCCAATCAGCAGCAGCTGAATAAACCAAATTCAGGCATATTTCATAAATATACCTACTGATGCACACCAATACACTTCCCTTCCTTCTCCATTGAAAGAAATGCTTCTTCAGTGACATCTTTGCTTATATCTAGAAAAGGTTTCCTATCATGCCTCAAATAGGGACAATCAAAGACAATTTTTCTGGTTTTTAATCAATACGAAGTCAGAGTTTGCTGGTTGGGACACAAAGTGGATTCTGACTTATCACAAACCAGGATCTTGGTGGCATTTATCAGGATGAAAGAAGCAAAGGAGGGAATAGCACAATGCCATTGTTGCCAGGAACAATTTTGCAAACTCTGTTTCAGTAAATCATTCTCTATCATCCAAATGTGGTCACCGAGCTTAGTGGGACTTAAAATTTACTTATTTACTTAAAATAAGTAAATATGCAGAGTTCTGAAGCCTTTATGCAACTACAGAATAAAAATAAAGAAATAAAAACTTTTTGATTACTTACGCTTGGGCACATTTAACAAAACGTCCCCCCGACATGCCACAATTGCCAAATCTATCTCCTTTGTTATTTGCAGCATCAAAACAAATATTTGGTCCTTTTTTCGCTCCTGTTAAAGATAATAACAGCATATCTGAAAACAAATCATCTGCATTTCCAATGCATGTGAAATTTCTCCAGAGATATTTCTGCTAAATTAACATCAATTGTATTACATCAGCCATAAACCACTTAACTCATACCTTTTCCAAAAAGGGTTTCACACTGCGAATCGTAATTCTGACAAACTCCTCCATAACAGTACTCTTTCATGTTGTTACATGGGTAGCCATCCATAACGTATACATCTTCTGGGCAGTCAGGATACGTCCCATTGCAATATTCAGGGAGATCACAACCACTCCTCTTTGGCCTGCACTCCATTCCTGCTACTTTAAACTAGAAAACAGAAAGTTATTTATTTAACTTACTTGAGAACCACAAAAAAGGATATGCCATTAAAGTGTCATGGGGAAAAGAGGAATGAAATAACTTATAATAATAATTGTCTTAGAACTGCACAACTAGAAGTGACCCTATGGATCATCAAGTCCAGTCCCTGTCATAGAGGCACAGTAGGGAACTGAACTCCCAACCAGATACCTAAATTACTGAGCTATCCAGGAGTTCCTACTACTGTCACTAGCAGTGCAGATGAACTGCTGGAGCTGTTGCTGTTTCACTGATATAACAATACAAGTAGCATAGTTAAACTGTCTTGCTTCTGCACACAACCTGGAAAAGTTACAGTGGTGCCTCACTAGACAGTTACACCGCATGACAGTTTTTTCACTAGACATTGACTTTTTGCGATCGCTATAGCAATTCGCAAAACAGTGATTCCTATGGGGGAATTTCGCTGGACAACGTTTGGTCCCTGCTTCGCAAAGAAATTTTCACTAGACAACGGTTTTCACAGCTCCCTCCGCGCTCACAAAACAGGTGTTTTTGGGACCTAAGCTTCGCAAGACAGCTATTTAAACAGCTGATCAGTGGTTCACAAAGCAGCTTTCCTATGGCCGATCTTTGCTAGACAATGACGATTCTCCCCCACTGGAATGCATTAAACAGGTTTCTATGCATTCCAATAGGGAAATGCTTTTCACTAGACAATGTTTTCGCCAAACAGTGATTTCAGTGGAACGGATTATCATCGTCTAGCGAGGCACCACTGTACTTTTCTGCACTGCAGCTCTCAGAATTCCCCAGCCAATATGTCTCTGCCTCTCCTATGATGAATTGGGGAACCTTGCATTTATTTCCCAGGCCAATAGTTTTCAATCTTAGCAAAAGAATGCTGCACAAACACATGAATGGTAATCTCACCTACCTGACACTTTTCACAGCAAAGACCCTCGGCACACTCTGATCCAGCTTTTAGTTTGCAAGTGGCAGCATCACAACAAGGGTTGGAACACTCCTGTTAAGAAAATACCATTTGTGGGCTTTTTGGTGTGGGGATTTTGTAGTCTAAAGTTCCATCTTGTGGCTATTAAGGGATACATCACTGGTATTTAGCATAATCAAGTTATTGTAGTATAAAGATGCATTGTTCTATGATTCTCTCTCTGCGCAGGCGTGGAATGCCTTAAGACTGATAACCACCCACGCCTCCATAGGTTATGGGGTGGGAGGAGGTGAGCCAACTCCTTAAAGCGCTTCCCCACATTTTGGTGCCAATTTGTCAACAGGACCTTTTGAAATTCAACTTAAGATCAATCTTCCAAGTGAGTGGGATGCCATATTTTAAGACCAATCTCTCCAATGATTTATTTTTCAGTTTATTTAAAGCATACCTTGTAACTAAGTGTGAGAAAAAAGTAAACACATTTTACAAATGACAAGGAAAGGTCACAGTATAATCTGTTATTTTCTCTCTTGATGCAATTTCTGAAGATTTCATCTGTGCTACACCCAGATTTTTATTTGTTTGCATTATCTGTCATCTAACTATGCCTAATAAGGCAGATATGAGAGAGAAAGGGAAAATAGTGCCCATGGCCCACAGCAGTGTCCAAACTGATGAGTGATAAATGTGGCCAAAACAGAGTGAAAGTCCCCTCCCCTCTATTCAGTATGAAGCGGCAATGAACTGAAAATTTCACAACGGCTCAAACTAGGTTTTAGGTGGAATTCGCATTCCCGATGATCAGCATATTTGTTCCTCCTATGACAAGATTTCCTCAGATATGCACACTTCAGTAATCAGACTTGCAAATTAAGTCTGTGCTAACCTTCTGATGGAAGACAGGAGGGCCTGGCATGCTCTGGTCCATGGGTCACAAAGAGTCGGACACAACTAAACGACAACAAACCGTCTGATGATCAATAACAAAGCAAAGCACTCAAAATGCTAAATACAGAAGTGAAGAAAAGCAGGTTCTGTGACAGACAGGTATCTTTCGGCACCTGGGGGAGTGCTATTCAAACTATTTGCCAAGTGTACTACTCAGTTTAAACCTTGATTGGTGCTGTGGTTGACCAATGAAGGAGTGAGAAGAGAGGAAGAAATGAGTGTACTCAATACTACGTAAATCTAAACCATTTCTTTCAAATAACAAAAACAGCTACAACAACCTACCTTTGGAGTGCCACAGTCACATTCTTCATTCTTATCCACAATATTATTGCCACAGACAGGTTCTGTGTAGATATTACTTGGAGCATTTCTAAGACAAGTTCCTCCACCTCGCAATATGAGATTCTCAAAATCGTTGGAGCTGCAGCTGCTAAAGTTCTTTGACCCACTAAAAACACAATAAGACTTAGTTTGGTTTGCTTATTATTCATTCATTCATTCATTCATTCATTCATTCATTCATTCATTCATTCATTCATTTTTTTTATTTAACTTATATGCCGCCCACTCTACCCAACCGTCTCAGCTTACAACAATTAAGATTCAATTAAAATGCAATATAAGATAAAATGATTAAAATACAATTATTTACCCAGACTAAGAACTTGTCTTTAGTGAGCATTTGTTCAAATTTCCTTGCACTTGTGATACTAGTACTGCATCTTGATGTCCACATAACACAGGGCTGAAACTAGTGTCAACGGAGTCAAAGCAGAACAAAATACCTTGCTTTCCAGGGTTGCACCACCACTGTGTGCGCTGGTGGATTTTTGTTCTGCTTTGCTCCAAATTCCTCTAGAACAGGATCTGCTCATGTGGAGTCTAGTACTGTGTTGTTCTGTCCTGACTTGTGAACTTTGCTACATCTCCTTATTGCTTTTTTTTCTGTTTGTTGATCTTCATCTGTTTGTGCTCCATGGACAGGGCACACAAGAAGGGAAGGGAGGAAACAGTACATTTAGGTGGGGAGAAGGAAGAGAAAACAGGCAAATGAGGAGAGCCATTTGTGCCATTCTGCATCCCAGAATGTCTAGTAACAAATATCTTTCCCATGTGTTGACTCAAATACAGCGGTGCCTTGACTTAAGAACTTAATCCGTATTGGAACGGTGGATGTAAGTCAAAATGTTCTTAAGTCAAAGCAGCATTTCCCATAGGAATGCACTGAAAACCAATTAATCCGTTCTGGCTGTTTTTTGTCCTTATGTCAAGGCATAGTTCTTAAGTCAAAGCATTAGTTCCCAGAGGAACTAATGCAAAACTGATTAATCCATCCTCTAGGATGAGAATCTTTTTTATTTTTTCTTCCTTTGATCTAAGATGAACTTAGGTCAAAAAAAGAAAGGGCAGAAAAGGTTTTGTTTTTTTGTTTGTAAGGCAAAGTACAGTTCATAACTCAAAGCAATATTCTGCATCCGGAGCTCTTCGTAACTCAAAACATTCGTAGGTCAGGGCATTTGTTAAGTCAAGGCACCACTGCATCAATTTGATGTATTTCAATTTGCAACGAAAAACACTAGAATGACCAAATACAACACCATTGTGCAGACGAAACATGTCCCTCCTTTTTAATATACAAAACACCATGAAAACCAAGAATTTGCCAAAACAAAGAATGTACAGTATATAGCCTTTTTGCAAAAAAAATGGGAACAAAAAAAAAGAACAAAAGAAAAAAGATGGGAGGAAAGCGAGGAAGGGTAGAGATGTTAAAGAAGGGCAAAGAACCTAGCATTATACTTTAGGCCAGTGGCCCTCAAACATTTTCGGCTTGTGGCTTCCTTGATTTACTGACCACTGGCAGCAGCTCCTCTTGCTTGGAGGGGCCCCCAGGGGTTTCTCTGCCATCAGGGCTGCAACTTGACACACATCTGCCCAGCCATCCCAAATCTGCCATCATGGCAGTGGCAAAAATAGTGCAACATCACTTTAAAGCACACAGGCACAGAGCACAAATCAAAGCAAGCCCAGAATGCACGTCAGCTTAAAAACCAGGTACAGACTCAATACTTTGGAGTGGCAAATGTTTTATTAAAGCCCATCATTATTGGGCAGTCTGCATCAGCACCAGTTTCAGAAGTGGATCCCATTACTCAGGTGTACTACACTAGCATTGGACTGGAATGCCTGGTCCTGAGCACTCTGAGAGACTGAGGGCCAACAGAAGATTGTCACATAATTCCCCAAGCTAGGCATCAACAATACAGAGTTTGTGAAAAGAAAATAATTGAGAGCTCTTACTTATCTGTACTGTGCATAATGTAGGAACCTGGACAGCTAGAGTCATCATGATTCATACCCAGGTTATGTCCCAACTCATGTGCAACAATGCTAGCTTGATTTATCACACTGTGGTGCGAAAACTGGCAGAGAGATTCATAGTGTTAATATGATGTGAAATAATTAAACCTTTTGAGTAAATACTACTTCCCTTCCCAAATGTAGTTGCCTTTCCCACTGTCAAACTTTAGATTGCCAAGTACCTAAGGAATTGTCTGCTATCTCCAATAGCAGGAATTTGACTAATGAAATCTCAAAATTCAGCCGTGACCAGGTCTGCCTTTTTCCATTTTCAGCAGTGCACACCTGTGGCGCTACCTGTACAAGAAATCCCTAATGACAATGGTCCATGCATTGATAATCTTAATGGTTTGGGACTTTGGGACCTGACGGAGAGTCTCTTCCTAAGATTGTCCACCTGTGCAACCCAATCCAGCCAGGTTTCATGTGTGTGTGTGGCAACCCCTAGAGAGGCTCAGAAAACTGCTATCAGAAACCAAACCTTCTTGGTGGTAGCTGCAACAGTATGGAAATTCTTCCTGTGGATATATGCTAAGTCTCTCCCTTCTGGCCTTCAAAAAACGGGTGAAAGCTTTCTTGTTTGAAGGGGCCTTCAGAAACATCTTACCCCTGTGACATCCTTGTGATTCTAAGAAGTATTTATTGTTTTGAATGGCTGTCCAGGTTTCTTTCTCTTTTTTTAGATATTTGGGACTTAATGTTCTTTTGGACCTCACTATCTATGTCTTGTGAGTGGGGATGGGTAGCTGGGGTTTGTTTTTAAATGTTGTTAGCCATCCAGAGTAGTACCTCAGCACTAGATGAGCTGGATATAAATGGAATGAATGAATGAATGAATGAATGAATGAATGAATGAATGAATGAATAGTCAGGAAAATGGAACCCTAACACTTACCCTGCATCATGGCAGACCACAATTTATGTTGTGAAGTGAACTGTGTTCTCCATCACAGGCCTCCAGAGTGCAGCTTATAGTCTGTTACTCAAGAGTGCAATTATACTGGAAAGCCAAATTAGGACAGTCTGTATTCTTTTGAAATCACAGTCATTGTTCACACAAGTGTTGTGAATTGATCTGGGAGTTCCTCTGGTCCTGGCTCTGCCAATTCTTTTATGAGATGTATATGCAGGAAAGAATGAGGGCCCAGTAATAAGGTGACAGGGTGATTGAATGCTAATCCCATATATGTAAGATGTTTTTAAAAAAACAAAAAGATTAAGAGGTTGATTGGGAGAGAGGAAATAATGTGGAGGCACCACCAAAACACCACTTACAGACCACCACCCCATCTATCACAACTAGTCACATGGGGAAAAGCCTGTTTGAATCATTCTAGCTAGAAAAAGGAGAAGTGAAAAGCCACTTTGACAGCAAAAGGGGCTGGACCGATTCAAATCAGCCTGTGCATCATGTCATCAGTAAAAAATACTTCACATTCACCCATTTCACAAGCAGAGCAAATCTTGTGGCATTTGACCATATTGCAGCCTAAATAAGAGTGAAGGTAGCAAAATTCTTTTCCCTTCCCTTCTCTTTTACTTCTGTGGAAGAAGAGACACCAAGTGATCTCTTTTCCCCCTGTCCTGGAAGCAGGGAAGCAAATTCATTTTTGCCCAAGCCAGTAGCCAGGGGCTCCCATGTGAGTCAAGGACAATGATCGGCTCTTTGGAAGTCTAAGCCTCTCAGCAGCTGCCTGAACTATGCTCACTTCTGATCATGCTTGCACCTCTTCTAGCTATATTCTTTTAAAAATTGGAACCGTACATGGTAATCCAATGGAATTTGTCTTTCTGATATTGAATTTCAGCTAGGACTCTGCCTCTTCAGAGTACAGTACTCAGATATTTATAACAAATTGATCAGACTGCTTACTATGACAATATTAAACTACTGAACCTGGTGGATTTTGCTGATTCCTGCAAGCTGTGAATTTTTCATCAAGATATGTGCCTCTGAAAGACACTGAGTGAAGCTCTTGTCACCAAAAATTAAACCAAAGACGCACAGGGTAGATATAAATGCTTCTTTTCTATGACATTTTAGGATAATTCTCTATTTATATCTATAGAACTGGAACAGGTAGGCAAAAAAAGAATTACAAGTATGGTTGTTGTAGGTTTTTTTGGGCTGTCTGGCCCTGTTCTTGAGGTTTTTCTTCCTAACATTTTGCCAATCTCCATGGCCGGCATCTTCAGAGTCAGAACTCTGTCTGTGCTCTGCTGCAGTTTGTTTGGATAGTTGATTATTTATAGCTGTGGAATCAGCTTTTGTAATTTTCAGGAGATGGGTGATTATAGGTATGCCTATAACTACCAGGAAGAATTTCCAAGATCCTGTTGACTTGGATAAATATAAAATATATGTAGGCATTTCTAATGACGAAACCACTAAGTTCACACAAAAAAAGTATGTAGTAGACTTACAGCACTGAATGATCCTCCATGATCTGGACTACAGACTGTCCCAATAAAAGCCATTCCAACAGTGCCACCAAATGGCCCTCTGCCTCTGCAGCACAGGAAAAGAAGAGGTAAATATTTGTTTCCCATTTAGTGCAATACTCAGTAGCTTTTGTAATCCCTCCTAGCCCTAACGGATTATTCCCTGAACCAAAAACTCTCTTTAAAAACTTCTGTGAATCTCTATCAGACTCCGCAAAAAATCCTGTAAACAAAAATTCCTGCTCCCCACTAATTCATGCCATATCTTGAAAACAGAATTTGAAATTCTGAAAAAGAGCCCCTACACATGATTGTACAAAGTGCCATTTAGTTGACACAGCTCTAAATTGCCCCATCCTCTCAGCTGAGGAGTTGGCATTTATTTTATTTTGTTGGCCCATAGCTGAGCAGGCCCGGTCTGCAGCAACAATATCCATTGCACTAAATGCAATTGGAAGAAAAGGAGCCACAACTATATTGGTAACAGCAGCCATTTCCCTGGCCCAGAAACTGGGAACGGATCCACGTTATATGGACACCAGAATGCCACCCACTGCAAATCACTATTCAGTCCCTGTCACCAGCCAGGAGAGACAAGCAAGGAGTGACAGTCTCTTGGAGACTGTACACAGGTGCATATGATTCCGTGGCTCCCTGCCAACCAGAGACGTGGCTGGGCTCTTGGCCCCTGAAGTAGGCCAGGCCGTGGCCTTGCTGCCAGCTCACTTAAAGGGATTCCTCTAGAGCACACAAGCATTTCCCTGGATTTTCTTTTCTTTTTAAGCTTAAGATTCTGTGTCCCTGCCTGTAAGTGTAGACTGGTTAATGTGGGGTTACAATCCTTACATGATGAGGTGGCTAACATCATTTCTTGATCTCTTCATGAGATTTTTCTGCCTCCAAGTTACAAATCTTCCCAGCACATCTCCAGCTGAGCCACTATCCACATCAATGCGGTTGCTGTCTGTCCATATTTCCAGCCCAACCAGGACAATCTGTATGTTTAAAGGATGGAACATCTACAAAAACACAATTATAGTTACTTACTAATTTATTTTATTTATTTATGTCATTTGTATGCTGCCTTTCTCCTTATAGGGGACCCAAGTTGTCTCACAAGAATTAAAACTATGCAACAAACACAAATTATAAAAATGCTATTAAAATTATATATTTTTTAAAAAAACACAATTAAACATTTAACAATAGTAAACCCACAAATTAAAAATATTCAAAAAACTTTTTTAAAAAAAAAAAGTTACCTATAAAGATATGAGTAAGGTAAAGGTAAAGGTTCCCCTTGACATTTAGTCCAGTCGTGTCCGACTCTAGGGGGCGGTGCTTATCCCCGTCTCCAAGATAGAAGCAGCGTTTGTCCGAAGACAGTTTCCATGGTCATGTGGCCAGGGCAACTAGACACAGAACGCTGTTACCTTCCCACTGAGGCGGTACCTATTTATCTACTTGCATTTAAATGCTTTTGAACTGCTAGGTTGGCGGGAGCTGGGACAAGTGGCAGCAGCTCACTCCATTACGTGGATTCCATCTTATGACTGCTGGTTTTCTGGCCTTGCAGCACAGAGGCTTCTACTGTTTAACCCGCAACACCATCATGTCCCCGGCACTGCCACCACGTCCCCATTTACTCGTAAAGATATGAGTAGATTTCCCCAAACTCTTGATTTCGGTTCTGCCCCTAAACAAGAGGACATCACCATATAGGAACAGGGCTGGCTTGTTCATGATAGTTGCTTCAGCCAGCAGTCATGAATCAATTATAACTACTATGAACTTGATGTGGATGGGAAATTACAGAATTTGTTGCTGTGCCTCAGGCCATTTAACATTTCTAAAGCTTATCTTGTGTATTCATTGGGACTTCTAGTAAGTATACTTAGCATTTACAGAATAAGTCTGCCCTCCCCATGGACTCCCTGCTGCAAGCAACATTAATATTTCTTTGTTTGTTTGTCTGTAATGAGCAATAATATGCATTTATCAATAAGAGCCAGGGCCAGAAATTAGTAAAACAAACAAATACCACTTTGCTCTTTGAATTATTGGTGCCCAGGAGAGCACCAATATATTGTGCTGACAGTAGGATTCAGTGTTCCATAAGCCAATTCAAAAAAATAGGGATGCACCAAATTTGGAAGGAATTGAGTCATTCATAGCTGTGATACACACTTTGAAAGCAGCAGTTTTAAAGTGATAAAAACTATGAGTTTGTGGGCTTTCTCTTATAAACTACCAGCATTCTAAACAGACTGAACTTTTTTACACTGCTATTCAGAAGGCCATTCAATGACTGAAAGAAAACATTTAACTCCTTCCTGTGAAAATGTATGAAATATTTAAAATATTTTAAAATATATTTTAAAAAAATAGAGAATAATATTCAGAAGCCCACTCATTTAAGATGTGAAATTACTGGGTTTTTTGTTTGTTTGTTTTATGGCTGGGGATTATCTTAAAACAAGTTCTACCTGATTTACTAGTGAGTATGTTTACCTGGTTTACTCAGGTAAACAGCCAAAGACAGCTACAGTGTGAGGGAAGAACATTGGGGCGAAGGTTAGGCAGACAGAAGGGACCCCATCTTACCCCCTCTTCCCCACACCTTTCTGCTCAGCTGGGGGTGCACTGCCTTTTGCAGGTAGAGCCAATTAAGTCAACATAGCCACCTTCACTGCATTTTCTCTCAGACTTTATTCCAGGGCAGGGATGACTATATGCCATGGTAGACAGGCTCTGTATGAGTTACTGACTTCCAAAATGTCCTATCATGAACAGCTCCGCTCAGCTCTTGCCAACCAATAGCATCTCACATTAGGTTATTCTCTACAGTACCTGCTGCCTCCCTTCTAGCAATATTGTCTTTTCCATTAAGTTCTGCTCAGATCTTGCAAACTAACAGTAGTGCCTCCTTTATTTTTGAACAAAATAGTATCATAAAGCACTAGCTAATGTTTCTGTAATGACTTACCCTATCCACATAATTAGCCAGTTCAATGGTTTCCTTTTGTACAGCTTCCTCATCAGATTGTTTCATCACATACTGAAACAGTTCAAAATATAGGATGTTCTAAGATTTGCAATTCAAACACTGTAGCAAAACATACTATACTGAAAGAACAATTACCCTGTTTTTATCAACAACCATGTATAGTTCAACATATCTTTTCTCTGGAAGGACAGCTCGCCTTTTCTGTAAAATGGAAAACAGACCACATTACTTGCAGTTATTTACAAACATTACAGAAATTTGTAACTGTTATACTATATTAGGCTGAAACTGCCATCTCCACTTAAGCTGATTAAATAGTGGTACTCAGAATACTGAAAGCATCTGATTTTAATTATTTTTTTTAATCCCTGCTTTAAATCTTATTCACTTCAAACAATTTAGTGTCGGCATGGATCAAGGTGTGAAGTTCTAGGGATAATATTCTGAAGTAGATTAGATCAATTTGAGTTCAGGCAAAGTATGGAAAATTACTTTTTTGGATTACATTCTATAACCGTATTGAGAATCTTTCAGGCATCTGAGGGAGCAGTCCAGAAGAGTAATTTTTCACCCAGCCATTTTTGCATTTTATCATCCATTATCCCTTATTCTTGGCATTATTTAAAACACATAAATGAAATAAGATAAACAAAGAAATAAAGATGAAATAAATACGGGCTCCTCTTATCCATGGAATTAGTATCCACTGATTCACTTATCCATGGTCTGAAAATATTAAAAATATTAAAAGAAAAATCCCCATATAGATAAAACTATGAAGTTACCAGAATGGCCAGTAAAGGGAGCCAGAGACCACACTACATAAAGCATTCATTATTAAAGTAGTGTTCATTATACTCCACTTTTTTCAGCATCCATGGGGGACTTGAAACCGAACCCATGAGGATACAGGACTCCTACTGATTTTTTTTAAAAAAATATTCATTGCAGAGTACAAGAACAGACAGATTCATCATGGTATATAATTTTTGAGAAACAAGGTAGAAATGTATTTACCCTCAGAAGTGTACCCTTACTGAAGTGACTATAGTTTATAGTTGAGTATCTGGAAAAAATGTCCATGCTCTGCTCATGGAACAAGTCACCATCTGGCACACCACATACAAAGGTCTGTTGGTTAGAATTTTCTAATACATAGAAAAAGTGTTCAAATTGATTTGATCCATTGATTGGTTCGATGCCATAACGTCTCCCGTTAATATGGACAATTCCCCTAAGAACAGAAATTCAGATGTTATATGGTCAAAGCCCAACCACATGAATAAAGGTTGTTGTGGGTTTTTCGGGCTCTTATACATGAATATACATAACACCAGCATGTACTGCTAAACAGTTCACAGCAATAGCATTTGTAAACCTGTATGTCAAATCTGTTGGTTCCTCAACAGGTGAATAAACAATTAAAATTATAAATATATGAGTCAAAATCCAGTTTTGAGTCACAACTAGAAGAGATTCATCAAATTAATACGAATTATGTAAATCTAATTGATTCAATGGGTCTGCTGCCCACTGATTCAAATGTCTAGGTTATGGATGAGCAACACATGGCTATCCAGCTGTTGTTGATCCCCCAACAATGGCTATGCCGATTAAGGCTGATAAATCTATACGAACATACATTTTGAAGGACCACTTATCTTACCCAAACCCAAAAAGTGTATGCCATGATTTTATACTTACAAAGGATAAACAGAATAGCAAGAGGATATAATGTACTGCCTTATGGTCAAGCCAGGTTCCTGCACTTGCAGTCAATATTCAAATGTAATAGTGCTACACATATTAGCCGAATCTCTAGCCACACTGGTAAACAGAACACTACTCCTCAAAGTAAGAGACAGAATGAAAAGAAAGGTACATACCTAATGCCATCACAAGTACTGAGAGCAAGCTGAGAGTCTGCAATGCCTTCAACTACTCCATGATAATAACAGTGGGTCTGAAACCAAATAATAATTATGGCTTTCTTATGGAAATGACAACTTTGCCCTCTAATTTTGCAGAAACAGCAGTACCATGCTAACTCAAACAACCATTGTATTCTTAAATACAGTTGCTATGCGGTTCAATGAATTTTTGTGCAATACATTTCTATATCACTGCACACAGCATGGAAATCATAAGGCATGATCTAACCCTGTAGAAGCAAAGCAGTAAGGAAACTAAAATGGGATATAGTGAAATCTGCCTTTGCCTTTTTGTCCCCAACTCACACACAGAAACATGTCCACAAAATGTGTATCACCACATCCAAACAACTATTGCTTGAAAAGGAAGTCAAATATGTTGTTCCCATATATATAACCACTCTTGTCATTCCCAGAGTCTCTAGTTACTCTGAATATTGATCATACCCAACATTTAAATTACTCAATTAAAAATGATAATGCAACTAGAGTTTACCATAGCAATTGTTCACTTATATAGCAAATCTTTATACAGTACATAAAATTCCATGTTATCATTCAGTCCAGTTAAAACATGAGAGTTTTGTAACCCTTTTTTATATAAAACATACAATCCTGTGAAGCACTCACATCGTGCTTCAAACCCTGATAACTTGGCCACCCCATTTAACACAAGGTTACATAAGATCTGGCCACAGTTTTCCTAAAAAGTATGTAAAGGTGACACCAGACCCTTATATATATTTTTCCTCCTCCAAGATGAAGGAGGTCTCCTGCCTTGCAGGAGAAACAATATGATGGGTGTCAGCAAGATACCTCTGTCGAAAAGTTCTGAAAGAGAACACTTCCCATCTGAATAGGTAAAAGTGTGAGTTAAACAGGATGGCCAAACTCTCCTCCGGTGAGTTGTTTGCAGCACTATCTTTCACATTCATACAAACCACAAATGTTTCATTTTAAAAATGCCATAAAGTTTGGTTTTTTGGACCAAGGCTGCAAGCAACACACCCAGTAATAAGAGATTATGAGACAGTCTAAAGCAGTCGTTCCCAAGTTTGGGTAACCCGGGCATTCTTGGACTGCAACGCCCAGAAGCCTTCACCATCAACTGTGCTGCCTGGGGTTTTCTGAGAACTGCAATCTAAAAACCACTGGGTTGCCCAAAGTTGGGAATCACTGACCTAAATCATCTAGAAGGCCAAACAGTCTCTGGGCACGCCCCCCCCCCCATGTATAAAGACTTATCTGTAATCTTCTACTTGCTTTTGGAGTAGAATTCTCCCAGCCTTGCAATACCCTTTCCTTTGGGGGCTACTAATCTTGCAGAGCTTCTCGGTACTTGGACAATGCGTGCCATATCATGCCAACATAAATGATTTATTTTGAACAAAGGAATTTGTCCTTCTTCAAAATATGGAAGTAACTGTTTATTTATAAATTACCTGTAATTAATTTTCATTTAATTACGAAGGCATAGTTGTAAGCATTATAATGGCCAAAACCCTGCCAGTGTTTACATAAGGGTTGCATAACTTGCTGTGGTTAAATGTGGCTAATTAACAAGGTGCAGGGGCACATATCAGTTGCACATCTGGTAGCACATCCAGCCAACTTCCAAGGAATATGATGGTGTCTGGACCAATGACAGACACAGTCCAACAAATCTGGAGGGCAGTGAATTAGAGAATATTCCTCTAAGGTAGGAGTGGAGCAAGGACTATGTGCAATTTAGAGCTCACCAGTTCATTGAGGATATAGGAAAAAATACATCTCCATGGGTCATATATGGACACCATACCTTAGTTTCAAAAGGAGTGGTCTTTAATGTACCATCTTTGCTGTAGGTATGTATAATGAAATGTTCACCAATAAGGTTTCTGAAAGTAAAACAATATATGTACTATAAATGTCATACAATTCACATATAATTAATATACTAATATACTGTATTTCACTATATGCAACTAAATATGTTGTTCCAGAAACAGTATTATTCAGTAAGCCACAAATGAATTCATATCTATTCAGTATTTTAGGCAGATATGCCATTTGAACTGAAGCAGCAGCTAATGGAATAACTATTCAGAAGCAGAAAAATTAAAGCCAGACTGGCATGCATCTTTTCACACTACACCTTGGTGTAGCACTCTTACTACTTAGAATGCAGTTCTAGGATATAATGTCCCTCAATAATCCTGAGATTGTATCTTAATTAACAGAAGGGAGTCAGAGATGGCAAAAGGATTGGATGGTGGTGGTTGTTTTTGGAATACAACTGGCCACTCTAGCCAAGAAATTTTGGAATTTGTAGTCCCAAAAAAAGTAACCTGTCCCATCTCTGGAAAAAACACCACTAACATCCAAGAACACTGGCAAGTAAAATTTTGACACAGTGTTGCAGAATTGTTACTGTATATTCAGACAACCCGCCTCCATTTCATGGAATATCCTACTTTCTTCCCCTTTGCATTCTGTCAGTCAAAGTGCTTGTTCAAATGAGGTTTTGTAGAAAACATAATATGAACTAAAGAGACAACTAGAAATATCTTAGAACCCTATTTTACATACGTATTTTTCTTTAATTTCAGAATATGTGTTCTATTTCCAGTCTTAATCAGGTAGGACAGTTGATTATCTAAATGTTTCTGAAAAACAAATCACATACATTTTTAAAATATTTTTTTAATTTGTTGAAAAATCCACACAATCTCTTATCATAAACAGACTATGTACTACATATTCCATTGGCTCCCTCTTCTCAACAGAAAACAAATCCAGAGAGTAGTAACCAAATACTACTCCACTCTCCACCAAAATTCTTGCCAAACATACAATAGACCCTCTCCATAAATAGTGTGGGTGAAGAAAGTTGCATGTTTGACTGCTAGACCTTGTAGCTGCTGCACAACAGTTTGTCCTGACAATGCTAGAGCAGAACCCTCTGCAAAGAATGGCGAGTCCATTCGGTTTAGCAGCCTGTCACCTAAAATTCTATTGTGGAAGATGTACTGTAGGTGGCTCAGTAAACCCATTCAAACTGTAAGCAGCTAGCCTTCATTAATTTATATTTTATTCAGTAAGGCTACAGATCATGAGCAGAGTATGGCATTCAGCAAAATGGACAGATGACTTGTTAAAATTAGCTACTGTTGTGTCACACACAGCATCACACACTGATTGTGATTGGGAACTCTGTGTGAAATGTTACCGATAGTGACAGGCTGGTTTGGCCTCTCTTTCACCCAATCCTAGATTCTGCCAGTACAGCAGGGATGAGATTGGATCTTTCATCAAAAGTCTGAACACTTCATTTACAGACATTGTTGAATATAAAGAAATCGTTTGGACAGCATTAAAGTGGAAAAAGAAAATCTGAGAGAGTAACAAACCTCATAAGAATGTGTCCATCGCTCCTCCCTCTCTGACAATCTTTGAGGGATTACAATCTCATATGTGGAATGCCCAGAGCTCTGATGAACATGCAGGCCTAAAAAAACAAATGGTGTTTTTTTCCTATTTTTTTTCTAGAAGATTTTCCAGTTGGCTCATATAGAAATTCATTTGATATGGTGCAAAAAACCCAACAACCCAACTTAGAATTTTCATTCTAAATGCTTAGAATGAATAGTGTTAAAAGAAACCACAAAACCTAATGTGCTTAACAGCTCAACGGGGATTTTCATCAAACTAGACTTTTGATGAATCAGGCCTGTCAGCAAAGTTATTCATTCGTTTATTCCTTTCAGTGTATAGCTTGCTTATTACCTTATGGTCCCAGGGCAAAGTACTTACATAACAAGAAAGCAACAATGACATCACAGTTACATGTCTATAGCTACATCAGCAGAGCACTGATTAAAACCTAGCATACCTCTGGTATGAAGGACTATATGCCTACAGTCTGAACACCAGCAGAAGGCTGGCCACTGTATGACAATCCAGTCACAGGAACTATGAACAAAATGATGGGGTGAAATAATTTTCATCTGCCTTGGTGGATATCCATACTGATAAAAATCCTGGATATTGGATGTATTCAAGACAATTTCAAAAATAGGAAATTGGGAATTAGTGAGAGTTGCAGGCCAAAAATACGTTATTTTTTCCCCAAGCTCTGCCGATCAGTTACCGGGCACAATTCAAAGTGCTGATTTTAACCTATCAAGCCCTAAATGGCCTGGCTCCAAGCTGTCTCAAAGACCATAAATCCCATTATGAGCCAGCTTGAGTGTTAAGATAATCAGGAGAGGCCTTTCTCTTGGTCCTGCCACCATCACAGGTATGTCTGATGGGGACACAAGAGAGAGCCTCCTCTGTTGCTGAACCCAGACTTTGGAACTCCTTCCCACAAGAGTCCAGGCTGGCCCCATCTTTGCTGTCCTTCCACAAGCAGGTGAAGACCTTTCTCTTCAGGGAAGCCTTCCTTCAGTAACCAGCTACCAGTGTGTGATTTCTAGATAGACTGTTATGTGTTACTGTTTTGACTGGATATTTAGTACTACTCGTGTTTTCCATTTTTGTGTTTTCCATTTCTTAGACTGACATTTTAAAATGTTTATATACTTACTGTATTGATCTTTGCCTTAATATTGCCTGTTAATGCTGTAAGATGCCTCCTTATTCATCGTTCGTATTTTTAAAAAACATTGTCTTCTAACAACTACTGTTGTATACTCATTGTTTTCAACTTTATATACTGTTTTCCATTGTTGTAAGCCATCTTGGGTCCTTTCCAAGGAGAAAGTGTGAGACAAGAAGCGAGAGGTTAGAAGCTCTTGCTGGAGTGTCGTCCTCCCTCAAAAAAAGAACAAGAGGCGCAGACAGACCTGCCTACACCATCCGTCAAGACTATACAGCGGGGAGTTGATACCCAGGAATTAGAGCGGGAACTGTCAAAGATGACAGTAGCTACTCAGATGGGGAGTGAGTTGGTGGGAAGAGAAGAAAGAGGGAGGTCCGTCGTGGAGGCGGGAATGGGAGATATAAAAGGGGAGGTGGACATAATACCAGGGGGGTGGGAAATGATATGGGTAGAACAAAGGGGAGGTGGACATAATACCAGGGGGGAGGGAAATGATATGGGTAGAACACCCATAGACAGGAAAATGGGAGAAGGTGCGGGTCCCTAGGGAAGAAGCTGATTACAGATGAAGGAGGGGGCTGCCACCGCGTCCTTCCTACTGAGGTGAGTCGTAAGCCAGAGAGTGGTGCAAGCAGCTCAAGGAAGAGAAGGAGACAGTAGAAAGGGAGGAAAAGGAACGTAGGTTATGGCGTCTGGAGGAAGCCCAGAGGAGGGGATACCTGATAGACCGTGGACCCCTCTTCGAGGAGAGGAAGACCCTTATGAGTTGGAGGGGCAAGATGAAGAGACCACCCCATTACTAAATCCTGAGGCAGGAGCTGCTGAGATGGAAAGCAGTAACCCGTTTGCGAAGGGACCTTTGAATGACTCCAACTGTAACCCCTTTAATAAAGACGTCTGGATGCCCTTGTGGGACCCGTTGGTGACGAGAGACAATACAGAAGTTGAGTTTGGCATTGTAGTGTTAAACCC